ATTAAAAAAAAAACTTCATTTTTAAATTTAGGGTCGATACAAAGTAATGTGATTTGTTTTTCGTTTTCGTTTGCTTACTTTTGCCCTGGCGGCAAACAAGAATAAAGGAGAGGAAAAGCAGAATAATGGAAAGAGGAGCCAGGGGGCCAGCGTCGGGCAGCGTCGGGCAGCGAGCGAACGTACACAGCCAAAAAGTGAGTCGCACGTCCGCACGTCGAATGAAAAACTTGAGAGCGGCATGCTTTACAGTGTAAGGCGTAGGCACGCCGATTTGGTTCGGCCGTGTCGGAGGCCTGGCGCGGCCTGCGGCCTGGCCCAACAACCTGAACAAGAAGAAAGACAGAGGATACCTGCATCTACCTCCAACCTACCCACCGCGCCAGGTCCCAGGTGCCCCCCCCCCCCCCAGTCGCCAGTGCACCGGACTTCCGCCGCGACAACGCGCATCAAAAATGGCTTGTTTTATTCAGTTATGTTGTTTTTGTTGTTGTTGCTTTGTTAACCTACATACAGCACCGAGGCCCATCACGCCCGCGTACTGTACGCATCGGACCTGAACACCATTTGCGCGAATAAATATTGGACTCGTGGATGCTCGCGTCGGAATCACGATCGCCCACGGCTCAACGCGAGGGAGAAACGAGACAGGTCTCCACGAGGTTTCAAGCGCTCGGCAGACCTTTGTACAGTACACTCGATTAATATTAATTTCTTTTTTTTTCCCTAGGCGTAATTTTTGACAGGGTCGAGCGCACCAGCAACGGTAGCCAGCCAAGCAGTAGCCTTGGGCCTTGGGAAAACGACCAAGAAAAACGTCCTGCGATTAACAGTGACGAGAAATGCAGAAGACCGAAACCTCTTCCCGCGTCCGAGTGATCTTGGCGTGACACGTGAGCTGAAATAAAATGTTTCCTTCGACAACGGGAGGAAGTTTACTTTATGCTGTTATTTTCTGGCGTCTCACAGTCGCGCGCAGGCCGCGGCGCCGCGGCTCGAGACGACGAGTGCAACGCGACACTTTGTTTTAAACGCCGCGCGAGGCGGCGATGGGGCGGCGATGGAGGCGGCTCGACGGCAACAAGAGGAACAAGAGCAGGACGTGAGGACGTCACGTGACCCGGCCAGACCCGGCCAGGCCCGGCCGATGCCAAGGCCCAAGGCCGCTTAGCTCGCGCCGCCCGCAGTCCCGCAGTCCGCACCGCGACGGCCAGCGCCGGCACCATCACGACGCCCTGGCCTGCCGGCCCTGCACACTCTATCACTCATCAAAGCTGTCTCTCTCTCTCTCTTTCGCTCTCGTCCCACGGGTACGAGAATAATCAGTCGGCTGAATCCAGAGCGCCCTGCTCCCCTTCCCATTGGAGCAAAGAGGTGGCAAGCCGAGGTAGCCGCTTGGTCCTACCCTACTGTCGCCGCGCCTCGCCGCGCCTACCACGCCTCGCCACGCGGCGCGTACACGTAAGGCCCGCGGTGCCAGGCGGGGCTGGCCGGGCCCGCGGGGGTCAGCGACCTCCGATAGCAAGAGAGGCGAAGCAGTGAAGCACAAGGGAGGAGGGGCCGGAGGGGCACCAGGACGACGCGGGGCGGCGCGCGGGGAGGGCGCAGCAGGAGTTGGGCAGGATAGGCAACATCGGGATGCCTTCCCTTCCACAGGGCCTTCGGGTCCTTCAGGCCCTTTAGGCCTGGACGTCACTACGCAACGGCCGACGTAATCTCCGCCGAACGGGCCGGGCCGGGAAATCCCCCGCCTCTGACTTTTCAGGGCGAACTGTGGCAAGCCGGGGCGTGAATGAGGAGCAAAACGGGACGGTCCAACGCCTTGCAACGTTTGGAACGAGGCGGCGACTCGTTACCACTTGACGGGTGCCCGGCGTGCCCGGGTACTGCAGTGCCTGTGGGAAGGGCGGGCCGGGAGACTCTCGGACGCAGCTCGCAGCAAGCCCAGCCGGGATCGATATAGCCAGCGTGCACACTGCGAAAAAATAAACCCGCCCTCCGCGAACGCGCCAACTAGGGGGGAAACGAGTGCGCCGCTTTCGGCGTTTAATTCCATTCATTTTTTCAGTTTCGGTGTTTTTGTTGCTGTTTTGACAGTGTGGCGACAAGAGGCGGCCTGGTGATCCCACGTCGATAACCAGCCTGGCCTGGTACGGGCCGCGCCGGGCGACCGACTCCGACCGACGCCACCGCGACAGTGTCCCAAGTCACCTCTGGTGCGGCAGGAAGTCATCGCCTCCGTGGCCGTCGATACGCGATCTGCCGCCGTGGCCGCCGTGGCCGGGGACCGCCAGAAACGCTAATGCCCACGGGGGGGCGTCGAACCCGGTCCCTCGGCCGCCGCGGTCGGGCCGTAGGCAGCCCGCCAGACCGCGCGACCAGCGGGCCGCCGCGCTGTGCGCCCCGCGTGCTGCGCTTGGTCCGCTTTCCGACGGCCGACGGCCTGCAGAGCCGTGGCCGCCGTGGCCATTGGCACCGCGTTGGCAGCGACGCGGCGACGCCGAGATGCCCGGCCAGAAACAAAAACACGCCGTTTGACTTTTCGGGAAGGCCGCGGCGTGACGTCGCGGCTTTGGTGTGACAGTGTAACCCGGGACGCGCATGTGCCACCTTTGTGGCGCCGGGCGGTCGGGGCGGGGCGGGGCGGGGCGGGGCGGGGCGCTCGCGACCGGAGGATTCCCGATTCACACCACACCGCCCACAAAGCACAGAGCCACGCAAGTCCGCGAGGCTCGCGAGCACAGCCAGCGAGTTCCCGGAGGGCCGTTCGGCCGGCTCGGCCACACATCGGCCGCCTGTAGGCCGGAAAGCTGGGCCGGCTAGGCTTGCTTGGCCTCCTTGGCCTGCTGGGCCGGGATGCGCCGATGCAGCGATGCAGCGGACGGGGCGCGGCACTAAAGCACCACGCACCTCCGCCAAGCCTCGCGCACTACGCGCAGCCTCGCCTCGCCTCGCGGCAGGCTGGCGGTGGCAGGCCGGGCCAGGCAGGCGCCCCTAGCAACACGGCTGCAGCGGTGATGCCGCGGGGCCGGCACTAAGCCACCAGCACGCCGAACAATGCGACAGTGCGCAACGCCCAGTTTCTTTTCATGCGCTTGCACCTAGCTGCGCCGCGCTGCGGTGTTGCGCCGCGTCGACCCGAGGCTGGAAACGTGCACGCGTCTCCCAGTTTCACACGCGGAACGTGGACACGCGCACACACGGCTAGCACGGCCCACGGCAGCCCACGGCCGGCCGCTGCAGTGGCCGCTGCAGTCGCCGCTCTCGCTCTGGCGCACGCACGCGCTATCTCGCGCGGCCCGGCCATTCAATGGAGTGCGACAGAGACGGGGCGCGGGCGCGGCGGCGCGGCGGACGCCACCCCGCTCTAGCGAGGGACGCGGTAGGGGGAGCGGACAGGAGGGGGGGGGGGCGCAATAAACGATGTGGAGAAGCACAGTTGAGAGTTGAGCTGTTCGACTTCTCTTTCTATACGGCAGCTGGGACGGCTGGCCCGGCCTCTATCAAGCGCGGCCGCGGACACGGCCAGGCCAGCACGGCTCGGCCGCGCCAAACCGCGCGCACGCACCACGCCGTCGCCGAAATGCGGGCGCAGCGCGACGCGTCGCGAAGCGCAGCGTGGCACGGCCAGGGCACGGCCAGGGCACGGCCGTCTAGGCTGACTAGGGCTTCTTGTTCGTGCAACCGAGGCACCAGCCCGTGGCTTGGCTGGCCGTGGCAGGCCGTGGCAGCGCGGCACCAGCTGAGCCCTTTAAAACACGGCCCGCGACCGCCACACCGCCACGCGAGGCCACTCCTCCCGCCGTGTCGTTGTCGCCGCGGTGCCGCGGGTGGGGGCGATAAGCAGTAAGCACTGCAACGACAGCAGCAGGCAAGCACTCGGTTGCATTTTTAGCTTCCGCGCTGACCGCACCGCACCGCGGTCCCCAACCCAACCGGGCCGCGCAGCCACGGACGCGCCGACAGACACGTCTTTCGAACCGTTTCGGTCCGTTTCAGCTTCACTCCGTTTCCAAGCCGAAGCCCCGCACCGCGGAGAAATCAGACAAAATGGCGTCCGGAGAAAACGGCGTCCCCAGAGTGCCCCGTCGCCCCGTCCCGTCCCCTCGGCCCTTCCCCCCCCCCTCCCCTCCCCGCCCCTACCCTCCGCGCCGACGCGACGTGGCGTGGCTTGGCCCCTCGCGCCCGGGGAGGGGAGGGGAGGGGGGAAGGGCGGGGGAGCCCTGGGAGGAGTCGGAGGAGCACGGTGCGACGGCCAGGGGGAGGGGGAGGGAAGGCAGATGCCCGTAGATTACGCCGCTCATTGGTCCAAGTGAAAAACCAAAGCCTGTGCAGCTTGTGCAGCTTGAGCCCCGCCGATCCAACACGACACCGCGTTGGTCCAGCCAGCCCAAAGGGCCGACCCGCCGCGACCTCAAGGAGCGACCCAGAGAACCCCGGCTGACCCTTTCCGACCCCATCGCGGAGGTCCTGCGAGTCCTGCGGGACGGGAAGGACACGTCGGACACGTCGGTCCCAGACCCGATCCGCAGCGTGGCGGTCTTACACCCAAGAGGCAACGGCGAAGTGCACCCAGTGCACCAAGCGACGGCCACCCGTCACCCCCCCCCCCTTCCCCCTCCCAAAACCACAAGGACACAATGCGAGCACCATTGTAAAGCACTCGCGATAAAAAAGGGGTAAAGCGAAATGGGTGACGCCTATCGGCACCCGACGGGCTACCCCTTTCAAAAACTGATCACCGCGGCCCCGCGAGCGAGAAGCGAGAAAACTCGCCGGTTTTTGCAGTGTACGGCCGCGGCTCAAGTGCAGGGCACGACGATTGTGTCTGGGCGTTGCGATCCGGCCCGAAACGCGACACAGACACACACACATAACCTCACACGACCACTATCTCGCTGGCGGCACGGGCACCGCGGGTCCTGGTCGTCCTGGCACCACACTGCAGGAAGGTCGCGAGAATGGGAAAGGGGAAAGGCGACCTGGTCGGTGCTTGCACTTACCTCTCCATGTATGTCGCTCCTCCCTTCTGGGGTATTTTCGGGAAGAATGTAGAGGCGCAGGCTCGCGAGCGTCTGTTCACTGTTTTTATCCACCCACAGTTGCTGCAGTTCACCGATGCTCACTAGGTCCGAATCACTCCACAATTTGATGAACACAAATTCGTTTAAAGCTAAAATGTTTTGTTTTCCACTTTTGTTGTATTTGAAGGCTTTGTAGAAAGTGTACGGTCCGTGAGTTCCGCACGGCGCTCCGACCAACTGAAAAGAACAATACACGTCCATTGGCAAAAATTTCCAAACAATTTCCAACAATTTTGTCACCCTCCTTCCATGAAAACACCAATCTATACAAAGCCACATAAGTACAGTAGGATAGGCCACTGCAGAGCCCGTCTTTAGTGTCAATACAAAACTCCGATATTTCCCACAAAAAATTCTCTAAAGCCATCACTCATATTTCTTAACAAAGCCAATACATAACACAATAACCCAAAAGATTGACATACCTCAATATTGCCGTTATCCATCACAAAAACGAGATAAATCACGGAGCTGATACATAGCACGCCACTTCCACACAGTTCACTTTGTATTTACTCTAATTATGTGACGTCACCGATAGTGTATCCTACCCGTCATGCTTTGAGACACAACATACAGACAGAAATATCCAACACAGTAATGGCGCATTCTGTTTCAACTGCTTCAAATTTTGGCCAGATGCTACGATTTGGTACAGATCGGCAGACAAAGATCCGTGCGTATCGGAAACCTCCTCGAAAAGCCAAGAGCGCGTCAGCAAAATGGTCGATGTGAGCTGTGCTGTTGGCTTTCCGAGTTGTACCGTGCAGCAGACTACGAGTGTCGTCTGCACTTAGAATCCGTTCATCGTGACAAGATGGGCAACACGATACAAAATATGCTAGTTTTATCGCAAACTCCCGTTGAACCAGAATGGCACTGAGCTGTTTCGGTTCCCGGCGGACGGGACACGTTTGTCTACGGCGAACGTCGAGCGTCAACTGAGCGACGCGTTTGTTGTGAGGATATCGAGTGGAGTGCTTATTGTTTCCATTTGAGGCCGTTAGAGGCTCGTTTCCATGACGACTTTAAACGGCTGGCAATTTAACGTTCAGTTTACGGCATCTCCCATTTAAATGCAGTCTGCATTTCGTCTAATCTCCTTTTATTTTACCTCGATTTTGTATCTCTTCTGTTTAAAACGGTACTGTGCTGTGACTAGGGAGGTTATGTTGGTCGTCCCCTATATGCCTTTTGTTTTTATCTGATTTTAAAGGCGATTGTCAGCATCGTTTGGTGCCAAATTAAACATCTATGGACTAGTTACCGTTAACTTCTCTAATTCTTTCCGTTTTTAATTGCAGTCTCATCTAATGGCATCGTAGTTTTCCCGTCCAACTACACGACTTCCACCTTTGGTGTTGCTGAGGTTTGTAAAACCTTCTTGTTATTTTTGAGGACACAATATTTGGTGTTCTATAAAACCGCAGTTTTCTGAGATTTTTGTTTACTGTTGTTTCAGACATCAAGCTTCTCGCTGAGGAGTCCAATCTACTATTGCCAGAAATGTTTGCGGAGAAGTTACTGTGAAGAAATTCGCTTACGGTGATGTACGATCATGGTATGTGCTACGGCTTTTCTGAGAGGAAGAAAAGCCTCCAACATGTCTGAATATGTATTGTGTTTTCTGAATGTTAAGAGAAAAAGATTCGCAGTCTTGGAACCATTGTTGCTCTTTGAAGGCATATTTTTGATCTGTGCTGCCTCATTTAATTGTTGAACATATTCTTAACAACTCTCTGATCTTAAGGCATGTATTGGTTTAAGATGTGTTAATTCTTGAGCCCACAAACAAAAGGTCTGTACTTTGCTGAAAGTTTTCTTTCTGGGTGGAAGAGTAGTCCCATTCTCTGAGAAATGTAAAATTTTATCAATTGTTTTTTATTTGCTCTATTCTCTTCTTGCAAGATGGCCACTAGTGGCTTTTTGCCTGCTACCTTTTATGAATTTTGAACCTCTCTTTTTTTCTTTTTTTCAAATAAAATTGGTCATTTTTAGTTTTCATTTCTAATCCTTTGCATGGAAGAGGTAAGATATTTGTAAATATTATCCTGGGACCCTAAATTTTAAAATGTCATATCTTGTCTTGTTATACAGACTAGCCATTCCATTTTTCATCACATCTATTTTAAAGATCTTCAAAGACATCTAGAGTATAATTTGATGGAGTGTTGTATGACATCCTGTTCACTCTTGCTCCTTAAACTTACTAATTTTTCCATTTATTTTCCAATTTTTCCTCTTGATCATAATTAAATTTGGGACACTTCAATGGACAGCTCTGATTGAGTGCATGTCAAGCAGGATAGCTCAATGGTTCAGAGCGCTACCCACTGGTAGAGGCCTAGGTTCGATTCCTGGTCCTGCATGTGTTCTAAAGAGCATGTTCGCTGTCAGTCCTTGGAATAAATCATTTATCATGTCATGGCAATATTGGTACGTTTATAGCCTGGAGCATGTGCTTTGTGAGAAAGTTGTATAAAGTTGTACAAATTATTTTGTATTTGAGAATTTATCTTCAAATCACATAAAGTATTGCTTGAATTTATAAAAATGGACCTCTTGGATTCGAAACTGTTTTCGATTTTATAACTCGAGATGAATGGCATTCTGAATACAAGCTTTCCAAATTTCTTATAAAATTATTTTTTCTCCTGTTAAGTGTTCTTCTTTATTTTGCTAGCCTCATTTCTTCTCTTAATGAAGGTACTCAGCTGTTTGTTTGTGCCTTGTGCCCATCAGTGAGGCAGAAAAATCAATACCATGAACTGAAGAGTTGTCAAGGAACTGAGGCCAGACTGTGACCTTGTGGTATGGGGCATGCCAATGCCTAATGGATGTAGTATGTCTGAAGCATGGTGGAAAAAAATTACCTGTCACCACTTTTTATTCTGTTAATAATTTTATGTCCAGGCATTTTTGCAGAAATTTATGCTTTGTTTTTAAAAATTAGTAGCTCTCTGAGTTTGACTTGGGACAGAATTTTTAAGTGGGGAGGAGGACAAAGGCCGCTTAGAGGCAGACGGCACACCGCATACAGATTTGACAGCCGCCCGGCGGACCAAACAGCCGAACCTGCGAGGCTCTAGCGACTGGTGGGGCTTGCCGCGTGCCGCGCTCTGCGGTCCCACTCCATCACGTGCTTGTCCAGGAAGGCGAGGCAGGTGGCTGTGGTGGGGACTGGACGATGGGGCTCAAGTACAGCCCCCAGAAGGACGCCAACCGGGACGGCACCGGCATAGCGCGGGGCGCAGCAAGCATAGCGCGGGGGGCATAGCGCTTTGCTCGCCTCCTATACATTTGCCGTTTGCCGAGTCGCGGGGCAGGCGGCAGGCCGAGCCGGGCCGGCCCGTCACAGTGGCGTAGCGTTCGGTTCGGCCAGTTCGGCATGGCTTGCATGGCAAGGGGCGTGCTTGCTCACGAGGCACACGGCGCTCGCAAGGCGCGGACCGCAGCACGGCCTACACCTACGCCTTGGCACGGCGTCAGCACGGCGTGAGAGCGAGAGAGTGAGACGGGCTTCCGAGTCCCGTGCACACCGTGCACACTGCACGCACGCCAAGGAGTGAGACAGAATCGCGGGAGGGGACCGAGGTGGGTATTGACAAGTGTTGGCACTTGAGCTTTGCTTATTGCTTATCAGCGATAAGTGTGCGAAGGGCCACTTCAGTGAATACCCCAGTTTGGCAATTTGTATATTATCTGAGGCGCTTGGGAAATCTAGAATAAATGAATGAACTGGGTATGAGTTGGAAAGATGCAGGTAAAAAAAAAATTGTCTCTGTGGTATGTGTGATAAGAATAATTTTTAAAACATTGTTTCATGTTACTTGACTTACTTTGAGATCACCAGATGTCCATTGGCTGGCATTAATTTGTCAGTATAGTTTTGTGTCAGTCATATTCCTTGCAAGGTGCTTTCTGCAACGTGCCTCTGGCTCCCCTTATCACCTCATGTGTGCATGCCCGTGACCAACGTGGCCTCGGCCTCCCGGCCATGTAGTCCAGTTTGCATAAATGACTGAACATGCTTTGACATGCTTTTATGTTTTACTTGCACATTTTTTTCAGAACAATTGAGAAGGTTGTGCATATCCGCAGTCCATAGACTTGCTATGGAGGTGGAGCAGAGGCATTTCAAAAATGCGGAAGCTGCTGGGAAATTTACCGAATCATCTGATAATCAGCCTGTAAGTACCCATTTCACCAATTTTTTATGAGTTTGGAGAGAATTTGGAGAGACTCTTCATTCACTGGTTGAGCCTACTGGTAAATAAAATATGCAAAGTAAAATTTTTTATCTTTTTCAGCCTTCATTATCATCTTCTGTGCACACCTTAGATCTTGGAGTGTCATCTAGTGTTAATCTCACATTCACCAATTCAAAGATAAGATCAGATGAAGAACATATTCGGGCATTGAAAGGTTGGTTTGATTTATTTAGCCAGCTGGTCTTGTGGAGTACAGTTGAGGCTGAAGACATAGACCAAAAGTAAACACTTCGTAATTTTTTGGGTAGAAAGTAAACCGGAAAATGCTTTTTAAAGTTCATCATCGTCATGGTATGTTACTGACAAACTGAAATTGTCTATGGGGTGCCAGATCTAAACATTATTTTCTACAATTTTTTAAATTTTAACACAAATAAACCTTTCAGGATCCACAATTTTGTAATTTCTAATTTAGCTATTTATTAGAGGAGTTTTATTTATGTTAATGTTAGTAAAAAAGCACTGAGAGTAAAATTTCCAGCATTTATTTTTCCTTTTGTTACAGGCTTACGGAATTGTGTGCTTTTGGCAGTTTTGCTTTTAGTGCTGTCTTTAGCAATTATTGGCGCTGTTATTCTTGCGATATTTTGGATCAGTAATCAAGAAGCCCCTTTTGATGTGAGTATTTTCTACAGCATGCTTTGTGGAAACAAATTTCTGCTGCTTTCCAGCTTGTTTGTTTAAACTTCTGGCTTTTAAAGAGGATTCATGGGAAAAGAGCAGTAACAGTATGCAGTGATATAAAAGATGCATACTTGTTACAAACTAATTTATTAATAATGAATAATTTACAAAGTTCATGTCGTCCTATTGAGTAGAAATGATGGTATGAGCAATTCGTACATCTGATTACCCTGCCTTATGATTGTGAAAAAAAAATCCATAACCAAAATGCACTAGAGCAAGAGAGATCAATGAAAGAGTTGTAGCAGTACAGAATGAATATGAGATTCTTTTGACCATTTTATGCTCGGTAACCGGATGTATCAACATTTAACTTTGATAACTCGTTATCAATCCAGTTTCTGAAACGAGCCACACTGCTGTACACTGCAGGTATATTGGCAAGACCGCAGTCAATGCCCCAGGCAACTATTCCTGCATGATAGTAGCGATTTGGTTCATTATCAATGGGACACACCAATGGGCTGCCTCCATCACCCTGAAAGAATGGAAGAAATCGTATTGTTTTTCTGAAGTAATACAGATTCAAATCATTTTCTATCCCAAACAGTCTGTTAGTTATCCATACCTTGCAAGTGTCTCGGCCAGGTTCTCCACCTGCGCAGATAAAACTAGCATCCAAAAGGAAGTATGCTCCAAGGCGAGTCTTGCGAAGAAGCTCTTGGCACTCAGGATTTGGCACTATGGGAAGATCACGTTTCTTCAAGATGACTTGATACTGGCCATCTTGCTCTGAAAGGTCGCCCCAAAAGACAGTGGTCATTCTCTTGCTGCCCAAAGCATTAGTAGAGTAAATTACATTGATATTACTAGAATTCACATACCAAATTTATCCTTGCCCCAACCGCTGGCAAAACACCTCTTGTAGTCGAAGACTTGATCTTGCTCTGGCAGGCAGATTACGCCAATGTGACCGCCAACTTGCACAGGATCAAGAAGGATCAGCAGAGCAATATCATTGTGGAGACTTCTTGGGTTAAATTGAGGGTGAGCAATGATTGATGCAACACCACGATCCTGGTGAGCGTACACCTCTTTTGTGGTTTGTGTGTCCCATTCGCCTGCTCTTATTTTCAATAAATTTGGCTGCTTGCTGAAACAGATTTTTAAAAAACACTTGTTACAAACTTTCAAGTTACTTCCCCCAAAAAAATTGTTTGAAGTGTCAAGGATACAATATTCTCAGGGGGCCTGTGCCACAAAAATGTATGCACTGCACATCTTTGTTTTTGAAATATTCCTACAATTTTTCGAACAACAAACTATAAAATGAGGCCACTTTGTGCCTAAAATAAGTATTGAATAGTTGAAAGGAAACATAGACACCCGACTGTGTCAGAGAGGTAGTCGCCCGACCCGACCCGAGGACTTCGGCAGCCTGGCCAAGCTGCCCGGTGACAGGCGGCGCCCGGAGGGTAGGCAGCCCGCCACGGCCGCAAGCGTGACGGGAACGGGACGGCCTCGGGGCCTCGTACTCGCAGTCGCAGGCAGAGCAGGCAGCAGGGAGCGCCCGCGAAACGCAGGGCGGGCCGCCCCGCAAGACAGCGGTGCGTTGCGGGCGGGTCTGCCGCCCGGGCGCTCCCCGTCCCCGCTCCTCTCCTTGGAGGATGTAGGGCGCAGGGCGCTTGAGAGCCGAGCGCTGCCGGACTACTCACCCCGCCACGCAGTGCGCCCCGGTGAGGACGACCTGGGGGTGGATGAGGGCGCCGCCGCACTGGTACAGGTTCAGGGGCTTGGCCTGGTCGTCGATCTTCTCCTGCTGGAGGATGGCCACCATCCAGGGGAACTCCCCGAACTGCGCCTCGCCGTCCTCGCCGCCGGTGATCCTGAAGCCGACGCCCTCGGGGTTGCGCACGCCGCACTGCATCTGCTCGTCAAATGTCGCGGGTTAAAGACGCACTCCTTTCGACGGCTTGTGTCCCTGTTTGGAGCCCGGCTCCGGTCCCTCCGGCTATCCGCACCTGCTGCGGTGGCGGCGTGGGGTGGAAGTCCGTGGTCGGCGGGGGCGGCCTCGTGGGGGGCTGCGGCCGGGGAGGCTCCTGCGTCGGGAGGTCGGGGTAGGACGGCTCGGAGGTGCTGGTGGGGGGAGTGGGGCTCACATTTCCGTTCTGGAGACTGCAGCAGAAGTCCAGGTAGTGGGGGCACCCTCCCTCCTTTATCCTGGAGCAAGCAATCAAAGTGGGCATTGGAACTCCGGTAAAGAAAACAAATGACAGCCTGGTATTCGCTCCCGCTCCTCACCTGATGTCGATGATGCCCTCGCCGTCCTGGTTGACGTTCTGGTTGGCGTCGCACTGGTAGTACGGCACACACACGCAGTTGGGGTCTTCGGGGATGGGGGCGGGGCCGCTCAGGTTGTCCCTGGGCGTCGTCACCACTTCGTAGTTCGGGTCGGAAGGCCCCACGAAGTCCTCGTCATACGCCGGGTCTCCCTACAACGTAACATCAGTTTTGTTTACGGTCTCTAGTATTTTGCGGTGCTCTCTTAGCCAGCCGTCTAAAAATATCAGCATTGGAAGGCCTCTAACTTTTACTTAGACGAAGAAAACCGTCAGTAGTGATATCTCGAAATGGTTGACAGTCGCGGCGTATCGATCCATCGACTCGTGTCGCTCTGACTAGCACTGACAAGCACTGACGACTGCACTGACGCACTGACCTGTCGGTTGCCGAGGCCGGGGCGGCCGGGGTTTCGCCTGCGGCCGCCGGTCACGTTCCTGGCGGCGAGCGCGTCGGCCAGCAGGGCTGCCGACAGCAGCAGCACGGCGAGGGCCCTCATGGTGTGGACTGGGACCGCGACGGCGGGGCGCGCCACAGCTGGGATGGCGTCGATGGCGTCCGCGGCTCCGCGACGTGCTGTGTTGTGAGGTTGTGTGTGTCTCGCCTCGGCCGTGCGGCGTGCGGCTTGCCCGAGCCAAGACCGGCTTCGTCTCCCCTCTGCCCTGCTCTGCCCCGTGCCCCCCGAGTCCCCGACCGAAACCCCGGCTCCCGGCTCGGCTCTGCCCGCGCTGCCTCGGCCCGGCTCGGCGGGGCTCGGCGCGGCTCGGCAAGACGGGGCCTCCGGGGTAACCCGCAACCCAATCGGCTTGACCTCGTACCTGGTGGCCGTACCCGTACCTCGTACCTCATTGCAGTGATAAGCCGGGCGGCAGTACATGGAAGCGCCCATCCTGTGGGGTGTGTCCCGGGGGTGGGGGAGATAGCGGGGCTTTTCCGCGGGCTTTCCCCGCGGGCTTCCCGGGGCTTTCCCGCGCTTTCCCCTCGCGGAAACTCGGAAGGGAAGGGCCACGGTGTCGCGGTGACGCGCGTGCGGCGGGTGGAGCGCCGCAATCGGGCCGCCACTAATGACTCTGAAAATGACCGCGAGTAAACATGGCCGGACAAACAAAAAAAAAGTTTTTCGCCGTTCTTTACGGCAGTGTCTCGTCTGTCTCGTCCGTCTCGTCTCCGCGACCGGACACCGCGACTGGTTTCGTGAGGCGTTCCCTCACGCCGCCACACCGTGCCACGCCGTGCCACGCCACCCCGCGCGCCCCGGCCAAGCCTGGCCAAAGCCCCTAGAGGCCGCCGCGCCGCCGGTCTGGCGGTGGCCGTGGCCGCACTCATGCTATTTTCGGGGTGTTCCCATTTTGGGCAGACAATGCGCTCCAAGAAATTTGTGTCTTTTTAGAAATAATTGCTGCCGAGTGAATTGGCGTGCGCGCCCCGCAGCGTGCCGCGCAGCATCGGGCATCAACCGCGAATACGTGTAGAAGTACTGGCGGTGGGACGGACCGGGCGGGGCGGGGCGGGGCGGGGCGGGGCGGGCAAACGGATGACCGGCTGAGATTGGCTCTCCAATGACGACCAGGGGCCACGGGGGGCACCGACGGAGCCTTACGCTACACAGTAACATTATTAAGCTTATCGTATTGGCCGTGTTGCCGTCGGCGTGTCGGCGGCTTGTTTCTTTCCTTGGATTCACTCTGATTGGCCGGGCCGGGCCGGCATCATCATCGTCTCACAGCAATGCGGCTGGAATAGCCGCCGCGGCGATGTCTGGACGCCTGGACGGCCGCGACGGCGGAGAAAGACGTTTCCGTATCGATGACGTCTGCTCTGATTACTGGCTTCCTCCTCCTCCTCCCACGCACTCGGCAATCCCCGTCGCGCGCGGCAATTTGAAGCGTGTGAGGAATGACGACGCCGAAGCCAAACCGGTTCCCCGCGGTAAACAACGCGCCGGCCAGCCAGGCTGTCGCGGCGTGCTCCTCTCTGGTCTTTGCATGTCGCACTCATCTCGATCATCTTGATCATCTCGATCTCGAGCGTGCCGGCCGTGACAGAGGCCCTGACCGAGGCCGTGACCGAGGCCCTGGCCTTGTGCAGAGCCAGGCCGGAGCAAAGCCTACACCGAGAGGCTCGGACCGCCGCGGCCTAGGTGTTGCAACCTACCGGGCATCGTTGGAGGGAGGGAGGGGTCTCAGGTCGTGGCATTGACACGCGCGTTCTGTCCACAGCGTGGGCCCCGAGAGGCGTTGCGTTTATTTCGTTAATCACAAAGTACAAGCAGTCAGTGAGCACAAGTGCTTGGCGCGGTCGCTGGGAATTCCCTCTGACGCTGTCGGCCTGCCGGGATGGGCAGCGAGTGCTGGCGCCCGCCGTGCGCCCGTGCGGCCGTGGCCCAACCCGGTTGACAGCTCTCAATTTCCCGGGACGTCCAGGAATAGGAAGCAGCGAAGCAGTGTTTCGGTGTTTCCGAGCGGTTCGCGTCTTCGGCTGCTTCCGAACGCCTCCGAAGGCAAACGGCCGAATGAACGAACCGGTCGGGGGATTCCCGCCGAAAGGTGGTTGGGTGGTTGGGGCCGGTAGTCTCGCTGCTTGCTGCTTGCTTCGTCGCCGTCGCTGGTTGGCGGGTGGCGTCGGCGTGGCGCCTGCAGGGCTGCACCAGGTGCACCGCATTGGCCGGCTGGGCTGCGCCATGGCTGCGCTATGGCTGGCGAGCGGGCGAGTCTCTGCACTGCCTCTGCAGCCTCTCCCTGCAATGACTGGCGATGACGCGAGGCGCGCGGCCCCCGCGACGTCACCGGGCGCGACGCGCGTGACGTCAAGGAGAGCGCGTGCGTCACGCCACCCTGGTGCGCGCCGCGCTGCACGTCCCCATGACGGCGTGCTCGACGGCGTCCCCCTACTGGAGGCCCAGGTGCTTGTCGATCCAGCCCCGCGCCAGGGGTACGTTGGCGTACAGCCCCGGCACCTTGGGCAGTCCGCAGTCCACCCCCCACGCCACCACCCCCACCACCTGGTAGTGGCCGTCCGGCTGTGTGCAAACCAGCGGACTGCCGCCGTCACCCTGCAACAGAACGTGTGGAGGTTGAGGTTCCTGGTTCGACACCCACCGGGCGCCGCCAGAGAGACCGTTCGTCCCTCTCACTCTCGCTACCTTGCACGTGTCCTTGCCCTCCTCGCCGCCCGCGCAGATGAAGCTCTCGTGCAGCTTGTAGTCCACGCCGAGCATGGTGGCCTGCAGCAGCCTCTCGCACGAGTCCTTGGGGGTGATGTTGAGCTCCAGCATCTTGAGGTAGCGGTGCGGCCAGCGGTCCTCTGTCAACCAAAATTTAACTGCACTTCGTTTCGTTGCCGAACCCAGCTTGTCCCTAAGGGCGAGGAACACGTCGGAGGACCTGGTGGTTGAACCCGGGCCCCTCTTTCTCACCCAGCTTGTCCTTGCCCCAGCCCGACACGACGCAGCGCTGGCCGTCGTAGACGGTGCCGTCGCCGGCCGGGGGCAGGCAGACGGTGCCGATGTGGTGGCCGAGCTCGAAGGGGTCCCTCAGGAAGAGCAGCGCTAGGTCGTAGCGGAAGTTGCCGCCGTAGTACTTGTCGTGGATCTCCACCCTGGCCACGTCGCGGTCCTGGTGGCGGTACAGCTCCGACGTGGACTCGCGGTCCCACTCTCCCGCGCGCACCCGCAGGCGGCTCACCGTCTGCCTGCAAAAGAAGGGCCTTAGCGTCTCGGACACTGCCGATAGGTGCCATCGCCCCTCGGCCAGGCGGCGTCGCCCTTACCCCTTGATGCAGTGCGCCGCCGTGAGGACGACGTCGCGGCGCAGGATGGCGCCGCCGCACTTGAACACGTCCGGGGCGTCGAGCGCCCTGGCGCGGAGCTGCACGGCCACCATCCAGGGGAACTCGCCGAAGCCCGCCTCGCTGTCCTCGTTGTTGGTGATCTTGGAGGCGATGCCGCCCTCGCTGCGCACGCCGCACTCGTCCGCGGGCACGCCGTGGGGCTTGTTGGTGGGGTAGTTGGGGTGCACCGGCGGCGGCGTGTTGCCGGTACCGCCCGGCACCTTGCAGCACCGCAGCTCCACCTGCGGGCAGCCGTCCTTCTTCCTGTGGGCGGACGAGAAGGCCGTGAGCGAGAACGTTCGCGCGGGAGGGCAGGAAGGGGCGGAGGGCGGCCTACCTGATGTCCAGCAGCCCCTTGCCGTCCTCGTCGTACGCCCCGGTCGAGTTGTCGCACTGGTAGAACATGACGCACTCGCACCGGTCCATGGAGCTGTCCGGGCAGTTGCACTGCAATGGAAACAAGCACGTGGTCACGTGGTCACGTGGTTCTCGCTCTGGCGCCACCTTCGGCCTATCGGGCGAGGCTGCGAGGCAGCGAGGCACTCACCGCGTCATAGTACCCCGTGATGTTGGTGGTGATCTCGCAGGCCGGGCCGCCGAAGATGCTGCAGGACTCGGCGGGGCTCAGCTCGTACAAGGTGGGCGTGACAGTGGTGCCCGGGTCGGCGTCCTGCGCGGAGGCGGTGCCCGCCGCGGCCACCAGCACCGCCACTGTTAATCTCACGACGGCGTCCATGCTGCTCCGTGCCCTGTCGCAGAGACAAGTGCACAGTCCGCGTCGTCCGCGTGCTCGAGGCGGCGGCACGGCCGCACGACGGCATGGCGGCCACTCCCGCGCGGCCGCCGAGCCGCCGGGGCCGCCGTCATGTGGGACCCGGGACTCGCACCGGGCGGACGCGCCTGGCGTGCCCTGCGCGCGGAGCCCCCGAGGAGGTCGTCATCCCGCCTTGCCCACACCTTGGCGACTTGGCGACCGTCTCGGAGACTTTGATGCAGTGGCACACGGACGCACTCCCTGCCCTCCGTGCCGAGCCCCGAGGTAGGCACCATGACCGGGGGAGGCCTGGGGAGGCCGGCCCACTTGGTCGGCCGCACGTTGGCTGCACTGCGCCGCCATGGCGCGTCGTGCGGCGTGGTGGCAGCACTGCCGCGCTCTGATTCATTTGTCGGCGCGGGTATAACCGGTCCAGCGTGTAAACAGCGGCAGAGACGCGCCGGACAGATGGACGATTTGACGCACGAGTCGGTCGGCCATGTCGTGATTACCTCCAATAACGGGGCGGTCCAAACGACCGAATCCGAACTGACTTAGAAGACGCCGAGTTTGTAAATACTAGCGTCTGTTGTGTCGCGGCATCGGTGGCCTTTGACCTTTGGGGGAGGGGGAGGACACAAACCGCATCGCATACCAAAACAACCAAAGTAGTAACTAACCTCGTTGATCTGCTGTCGCGCCGGGGCGCTGGGGCGAACTGGCGGACTCTGGCCGGACTGCGCTAGGCCGGTGGAGTCTTCGTGTCTTCGTCTTCCCGGCACGGCTCAACGCGGCTCCAGTTCCAGTTGGTGGTTGTCTGCAAACTGACTGGAGAGATGCTGGAGCCTGGAGCCGTGTCAGCCGATGCCATGGCTGTGCTTCTTGGCAGAAATGGCCGGCAGGCCGACAGGGGGCGTTCATAAATTACCACTCGATTCTTGTTTTTTCTTGTCTTCTTCACCAGGAAAGAGTATGACGGCGACTTAATATGCGCTTGGCCGTCGCGGTCGTGACGCTCGGCGTGGAACCCGTTGCGTGTTTAGGAATGACCCCTCGCTGTCCAGAGTGACCAGGCTGCCCAGAATGAGCAGGCTGACCCAGCCCGCCCAGCCCCAGCACCGGTCTTTGTCTCGGCCAAATCCGGGCCGTCGCACCAACGCAATCCGCTCTTCATTTATGCCAACCATTCATCATTGGAGATCGGTATCGTCTGTCTCCTTAAGCCCTGGTCGCCATCCTTTTTATTTTGACGTCTGTTTATGTTTTGTTTTGTCGTATCTCGCTGGAAACGAGAGCGAGAATTTCTTCGAATTCGCTAGCGTAGATGATGCATCTCATTTCACCGGCAACGCATGGTGGAAAACTGTGAAACATTGAGTGGTTTTTAACACTATGCATTCCTTTAGTTTGTACGTATCGTGAGGTCATTCGAATGGGAGCAGGATAAATCATTCGCAAATTTATACAAATGGTATGACAGGGTCTTTTATTACGACAGGAAGCATTTCTCAGGTGTGGTCTCGCTTTTTTTTTTGGTCCGCAGCTGGTGGTCACCATGCGTACGGCTGTAACACAGTCTTTTTCCTTAAGTCTAGAATGATGGAGTGGCAGACATGCCGGCGCTTTTCTTTGCAGTCCCGGGTCCGCGGGTCGACTGGGACCGACTGGGACGTCCGCGGCGTTGGCCGGTGGCGGCGGCTCAGGGCGGCTCAGGGCGGCTCAGGGCGAGCACACCTGCACGTTGTGGGTGGAGAGCGACTCCTCGATCCACGACCGGAACAGGGCCACGTTGACGTACACGCCGGGCACGTCCTCCTCGCCGCAGCCCACGCCCCAGGACACGATGCCGGCGTACACGTAGCGCGAGTCGTCGTCGTTGTCGTTGATCGGGCACACCAGCGGGCTGCCCCCGTCGCCCTGCAACACCAAGTCCGTGGGTTCAACTCCCCGCCAGGTTCGAACAGCGCGTCGCTCTGTTTGATTGGCGAGCCACTCACCGTGCAGGCGTCCTTCCCCCTGACTCCGCCCGCGCACATGAAGCTGCCGTTGAGGCGGAAGTAGGGCCCCAGCCTGGTGCGGCGCAGCTTGTCCTGGCACTGGGAGTGCGGCACCACGGGCAGGTCGTCGATGCGCCGCAGGATGTTCTGGTACACGCCGTCCTTGCCTGCGAGTCCGAGACCAGTTAGTTTACGGCGGGTTGCACGGTACGGTGCGCCGAAGCGCGCGACAGCAGACGACATACCGAAAACGTCTTTGCCCCAGCCGCTGACGAGGCAGTTCTTGTAGTCGAAGCTCTGGTCCTGCTCGGGCATGCAGATGGTGCCGATGTGGTAGCCGACCTTGACGGGCTCCCTCAGCACCAGCAGCCCCACGTCGTTGTGCAGCGACAGCGGCTTGTAGTCGGGGTGGGTGATGACGTAGTCCACGTCGCGGTCCTGGTGCTTGAAGGCCTCCTCCTCGGTCCGCGAGTCCCACTCGCCCGCCCGCACCGTCAGGCTGGACGGCGCCTTCCTGGAGGACGGCAGGAAATTACGACACTTAGAAAAACTTGAAAGAACGAAGGTGAAAGAGAAGATGTGACGAAGTAAAAGGCCACCTACTCGTTAATGCAGTGGGCCGCCGTCAGGACCACGTTGGGGGCGATGAGGCCTCCGCCGCACAGGTACTCGACGTCGGCCTGCCTCTTCTTGAAGATGGCCACCATCCAGGGGATTTCGCCGAAGTTGGTCTCGTCGTGCATGGCGCCGGAAATCCTGGAGCCGACGCCGTTCCGGTAGCGGATGCCGCAGGCCTGGCTGGGGTTGTACACGGGCGGGGCGGGGTCCTGGGGGCCCGGGCCGGGGCCAGGGTTGTCGCCCGGGTAGTTGCCACCAGGGTTGTCGCCGGGGTTGCCACCAGGGTTGTTGTCACCAGGGTTGTCACCGGGGTAGGGGGGGTTGTCGCCGGGGTAGGGGCCGCTGGGGTTGTCGCCGGGGCTCGGGCCGGAGCCCTCTCGGATCCGGCAGCACTGCTGTAAGTAGTGCGCGCAGGAGGAGTTGGTCTGCTGCGGCTTCTGGCGGATGTCGATCAGGCCCACGCCGTCCTTGTTGTACTCGCCGGACTTGCCGTCACACTGGTAGTACGGCACGCACTCGCAGCCGGAGCCGCCGCCGTTGGGGCACGAGCACTGCAACAAGGTTTCCATGTACGGCCCGCCGTGGCCCCGCCAAGAGAACGCGCGTTGGCGCCGTACTCACCGGCTCGTAGACCTTGTTCTCGTCCGTGGGGCACGACGGCCCGCCGAAGATGCTGCAGATCTGGCTGGGGTCCACGGCGGCGGGATCCGCCGCGCCCTGTGCCTGTCGGCGGCTGCGGCGCGTCGGGGCCGGCCGGGCTGGGGAGGGCTTGGGCTTGACGGCGGGTGTCTTGGAGGCGCTGGCGCCGCCGCAGTAGCTGCCGCCGTACACGCCGCACAGGATGTCGGAGGGCAGGCCGTCGGCGGCCGGGGCGGCCGGGGAGGCCGGCGCCCTACTGGGCGTTTTGGCGGGGGGCAGGGCGGCCACCATGGCCACGGCGGCCACGGCCACCATGGCAGTCACGGCGAGCAGTCTGGCCACCATCGCGGATCTGCGCAGAATAAAGGGTTGTGCGGTTTGTCGCGACGGGCGAGGTGACGCGGCCCCCTCCTAGTCGCCATGCACGCACCGCACGCACGCTCACGCACGCTGTGGAGCCGCGGAGCCACCGCGGTGTTCAACGGGTTGCTGACCGGGTTCAAGGTTCCGGGCTTGACGCGTTGGGGTTTCCCTGTGTGGTCGTTCTCGTACTCCGCACCGGGAGAAACCTCCCCTGCCCGTGCCCGCGAGGGGCGGGGCGACCAGGGGTTGGAAAGCGAAGCGCGGCCCCGGAAAAGCGGGCAAAGAAACGAAAACCGCCCGGAAACGGCTGCGAAAATCCGCGGTGCGTCTCGGCCTGCCACAGACCCACAGCCTCGGCGCGGTGCGGCGGTGCGGCCGGAGCGTCGCGGACGTCACAGGCAGACAGAGACCGCGGCGGCGCGCTGCGGCCAGGTCGGCCAGGCTGCGACCAGGCACTCGGTGATAAATAGCGCGCTTTATCGAGGAGCGAGATTTCAAAAAAAGGAGGAGAAGAGGCGCGCCGAGCAGGTTTGCCGGAGAAATAATTACTTTTGAAAAGGATGTGGCGTGGCGTCTCCGAGGCTAAGGCGAGTTGTTTGCGCGCCGGCCTCACAATCCGCTAAAAGTGCTCCTTGTTTGTTGCAGTTGTTGTTGTTGTTTTTGACACTACTATACAGTGTAGCCCGTCAGCACGGTCAGCACTTTAGGACTCAATCAAAGTGGACTCTTGACAGTCCGCACAATACGTGGTCCAGCAAAAGCTGCTTTGTTGCCTCGAGAGAGACTCTGAACAAAACAGCCGGCCAGTTGATCAAACTCGGACCGAGCGACGGCTTGGCGGTTGAAGTGAATGATTGAACTGGGAGGCAGGGGGTGGCGCGGCTCGGTCCAGGCTTACCTCGCGGTGCTGGCGGTGCTGGCGCAGGGAGGGGGTGGTCGATGTTTTCGAGTGGCGTGGTGCGGGATTTCCCTGGAACTCTTTCACTTGTCCATGTCCGGCCGGCGCTGCACACCGCCGCGCTCGTCTCTCGCCTCTCTTCTCGCCTCTCGCGTCTTGATATGACGGGCTGGGCTGACGGGCTGAGCCAGTACGGCCAGTACCCGGACGATCGGACCTGGGCTGGGGCAGGCCGGGGCCGGCCGGCCGGTCTTCGGGTCAGCTTCGGTCCGACTTCGGCTCGGCTCGGATTTGCACACGAGGTTCTGCGAGGAAGAGGGGGCAGTCTTAGGGGAGCGCGAACGGCAGCGGGGAACGGACGAATGGACGTCTAGCGTGGATTGGCATGGATGACTCGCTACGACGACGCTTGCAGCTTGCAGCGGGATTGCGTTTGGAACAGAGAAGCCGTGGCGGGAACACCGCGGTGTGTGGGCGGTCGGCGATCGACCTTGTCAGCTTGTGAGTGGCAATAGGGTAAAGTTGGCTAGTAAAAAGAGGCCGACTGCTGCTGCCGACAGGCGCCAATCGCTAATGTCTCAGGGAGAGTCTCGAAACGGAGGAGTTGCTTCTTTTCTGTGGCCCTGCAGGCACTCGGTGCAACTGCAGGAGGCCTCACCGCGCCCCGCCACGCCCCGCCACGCCCCGCCACTCGTCCGTGCGTCACTGCACTGGGACTGGTGGACCGTGGAGGAGAGGGCCTGGACATCTCGGTCGTATCGCCATCGTCATCTGCTTACCCCCGACCACCCGCCCTCCCCTTCCTTAATTTAAGCCTTCCTGCTTCTGAGCCATCTCCCTCACTGTCGCATCGCCTCCGCGTCCACCGCGTTTTCTTCGCTTTTTATGCCCCCTCCCACCTTGAACCACCCGCCAGTGCCCACCCCCTTCCCTGGCGCGATGCTGATGTGCGAGAAACAGGTCTGTGGCGAGGCGCTCGAGGCTCGCGTTGTCCACTCAGTCAGCTTGGTGCGTCGGGTCTGTTTAGGTCGTATAAGGGGATGGGTTTAAGAAAAACACGCAGTTAAATAATGTAGTACGACTTTATTTAGCACTTCTATAAGGATCTTACAAACTACTATGACGTCCAGTCCCTCGCAGAACTTAAATCGACGTAGGTGTGCGGGGGCTTCTCAGCCCTCTGACAGAGCTCTGGTGCTCTTCACCGGGTGCTCACTTTGTAATGGATCATATCTCAGATTTCTCTTGAAGGAAATGTCTCAGATATGCACACAACATATAAATAATATATAACAATTAAATGGCACCACTCGTTTATCAAAACCTCAAATCAGTTTTGAGATAAAAACTGATCGACCTGAATTGTTTCTAATTTGGAGTCAGATCAAAATGCCATTTGCAGTACGTAATTGCAGAACGGTGTGGGAAGTTGCGGTCTCATAATGACTTTGAAATAATGAAGGCTCAAAACAGAATCACAAGGTCTGTCCAAGGCTCGTCGTAAAAAATAAGTGCCCAGGGACTTCGGGAATGCCTCTTTTTGCCAAACAAACTTGTCCTGGCGTCATCACAGTGCGTGGCAATGTTTTTTTCCCGGGCGGCCTCCAGCCAAGCCTCCGGCCGCACTCGCACGAACACAAACAACTCGCATAATCACAGGGAATGAATGGTATCACGGCAGGTACGGCGCGTCGTCGATGTTGTGGGCCCGGATCTCCTGGTCCACCCACTGCCTGAACTTGGACACCTTGCCGTAGACGCCGGGCACGCCGGCCAGGCCGCAGTCGATGCCCCAGGCCACGACGCCGGCGATCTGGTAGCGGCCTGGGTGGCCCGGCATGGGGCACACCAAGGGGCTGCCGCCGTCGCCCTGCGGACAAGAACAAAGACAGAGACGGAGGCGTCAGGCGGGTGCTCGACCTCACTGTTGTTGGGCCGCGTGGCGTTGACCGCCCTCACCTTGCACGTGTCCTTGCCCTCCTCGCCGCCCGCGCAGATGAAGCTGTCGTGGAGGATGAAGTGGTGGCCGAGGCGCGTCTTGCGCAGCTGGGCCTGGCACTCGTCGTTCGGCACCATGGGCAGCTCCAGCTTCTTGAGGATCACCTGGTAGCGGCCCTGCTGGCCTGCAAAGTGAGCAAAGCAGGGTCAGCAACAGTGTCACCGCCTGGCAGAGCGCCGCCCACCCTTCGAACCCCGCCTTCACTCACCGAACTTGTCCTTGCCCCAGCCGCTGACGAAGCACTTGTTGTAGTCGAAGTTCTGGTCCTGCTCGGGCATGCAGATGGTGCTGATGTGGTAGCCCAGGTGCACGGGGTCGTTGAGGTAGAGCAGCGCCACGTCGTTGTGCACGGCCCCCGCGTAGTACTCCGGGTGGATGGTCACGTCCTCGACGGTCACGTCCTGGTGGCGGTACATCTCCTTGGCCGTCTGCGTGTCCCACTCGCCGGCGCGCACCTTCAGCGCCCTCGCCGGGATCCTGGAAGCCAAATGGGGCGTTTCAGCGGCTGTGCCATGAGACTCGGGACGTTCGCGTAGCGCATACAGCAGCGTTTCTCAACCTTTTTCGGTTCGCGACCCCAAATTTGTAGCGAAAAATTTCCGCGACCCCCAGGAAAAATTTCGCGACTCCACGCGACCCCTCCTTTAGCATGCCTTTGATACAAAGTGCGATAATCCACCTTAGTTTGGAAGCAGTATTGCAGCAAAAATGATCAAAACGGTCACAAATGTCTTTGAAAAATCGTGTTTTGGGCCGACTTTAAGCAGCCACTGCGTCTAATCCGAGGCGGTATTTCGTCCTCCCTCAGCGGGCAATTGGTCTTTGGGCCTTCCTTTAGCATGCCTTTGTTACGGAGTGCGATTATCTGCCTTAGTTTGGGAGCAGTATTGCCGCAAAGTTGATCAATGCACGATTTTTCAGACATTTGTGACCGTTTTGATCAACTTTGCGGCAATACTGTTCCCAAATTAAGGCAGATAATCGCACTCCGTAACAAAGGCATGCTAAAGAAAGGTCTAAAGACCCATTGCCCGTTGAGGGAGGACGAAATACCGCCTAGGATCAGACGCAGTGGATGCCTAAAGTCGGCCCAAAACACGATTTTTCAAAGAAATTTGTGACCGTTTTGATCAACTTAAAAGTTGTTCCCGCCAGTGCTCGGCGTGTTGGCCAGCTGGGAAACCGCCGCGACCCCAAGCGGCCCCAGTTACCTCGCCGCGACCCCAAGGTTGAGAACCGCTGGCATACAGTGTGGTGGCATTGCACCGGTACTCACTGCTTGACGCAGTGGGCCGCCGTCAGCACCACCTGTGGGGTGATGAGCGCGCCGCCGCACTGGTACAGGTTGCGCTTCTTGTCGTCCTCGCTGGTCTCCACCTTGAGGATGGCCACCATCCAGGGGAACTCCCCGAACTGCGCCTCGCCGTCCTCGTCGCCGGTGATCCTGACGCCGATGCCCTCGGGGTTGCGCACGCCGCACTTGGTGGGCCCGGGCTGCTGCGGGGGGCTGTAGGGCGGGCTCTCCGTGTAGGTGGACTCGGTGTACGGCTTCTCTGGGGTGAAGGGCGGCGGCTCCGGGGTGTAGGGTGGGTTCTCCGGGGTGTAGGGCGGGCTATCCGGGGTGGGGTTGTACACGCCGGGGTCCGGGCTGGGCTGCGGGTTGCTGGGGTATAGGTCGGGGTCCGGGTTGATGGGGCCGGGGCCGTTAGGTTGGGGGTAGGGGTCGTCGGGGTTGTAGGGTGGCGAGGGGTTGGTCGGGTTGGAAGGCGGCGGCGGGTTGTACGGGGGCTCCTCCGTGAAGGGCGGTTGGGGGTCTGACGGCTGGGGGTTGTTGCTGTAGGGGGGCGGGGATGAGTCCGGGGGAGGGGACTGAGGCGGGTTCTTGGCCGGCTTGCAGCACTTGTAGATGTAGTGGCTGCAGCTCGAGTTGCCTTGCCTGCAACAGAGAGGACGCCGTTGAGCTGGCCGTCGTGTGCCTTGCTCGCAGTGCTCGGGGCAGCAACGGGACGGGCGCCCTACCGAATGTCGATGACGCCGACGCCGAACTCGTTGAAGGAGCCGGTGCTCTTGTCGCACTGGTAGTACGGCACGCACTGGCAGCCGCCGTCCGGGCTGTCGCACAGGCACTGCAAAAAAACCCGCAAGAGGTTAGTCGTGGGTTCGAATCCACCACCCCATCCCCCGAAACAAAAGGCGGTCTTACCGGCTCGGCCTCCGGCTGGCCCTCGACGGGACAGCTGGGCCCGCCGAAGATGGTGCAGATGAACTCCTGGCTCAGGGGCTCCTTGCTGTCCTCGGCGAAGCGCTGTGCCTGGGCGCCGGGCGCCGCCGTGCTGGTGAACACCTCCTTCAGCACCTCGGGGTCCACGTACTCGGGGCCCGACTGCCGCGCCGCCACCATGGGCTTGACGGGGGGCCTGGGCCTGGTGGTCTTGGCGGCGGTGAGGGCGACCAGCGCCCCGAGCGCCAGCACCGTCACCGTCGTCCGCATGGCTGTGGGACGGAGGCAATGCACACGTTACTCGAGAGCAAACACAGCCCGCGAGCGGCGCTGGCCCGTGGGCCTGTGTGCCCGCGGAGCGCGGGGGCGGGGCGCTGCGCGTCCGCCTTGCTTTACCTGCTTTGGCCGTGCTGGTCTGCCGGGCTGGTCTGCCGGGTCTGGCTGCGGCCGGGTCCCGCGGTCGGGGCAGCAGGCGGCAGGCAGCAGGCTCTCCAGAGTCCCGGTCGCGTGTCTGGATTCGCGCACACTCAGGCGGCGACTGCTTCTTCTTGCTTGTTGATTCCAGCGGCCGGCATCGCGGCATCGCGGCGGCGTGGCGGGGCGCGGCACGGCGTGCGGCACGGCGTGCTGGAGCTGGACAAGTCCGACCGCCCCGCCCCGTCCAGCCAACGCAAGCCAACGCCCAGGCCGGGCCCCTCCAGGCCTCCAGCAAGCTGGGGCCGCTGGAGCATCAGGCTCCGGGCGACGCGACCGGGGCGGGGCGGGGCGGGGCGGGGCGCGTGGGGCATCCCAGACGATCAAGCGCGGCGTCCAAAGTCATCGCTCACAAAGAAACGCGAAGAGCGTTCCGCTCAGTGAGGCATTCGCACTGCTGCAAGTGTTCCAAGGGCCGCCGAGTGTGCAGTGCGCAGCGTGCGCAGCGTGCGCAGCCAGGGCCAGGTCGGTTGGTTCACTCCGCCTTCCCTCTGACTGCGACTATCGGTCGCCACGCGTGCGTGTGCTGCGCGCTGCGCGCGTGAGAGGCAGAGACAGTCGAGGGAGCGGCGGGCGCGGCGAGCGGGGCGGGGTTCGGGGGTATCCCAGTGACGTCATCCACCGGGCCGCCGCGGGCTTTTTAATTCAGGGCGTCCCGCTTCCGCGCCCCGCGACATTCAGAGGCAAGGCGACGCAAAGCGAGGCAAGGCGAGGCGCGGAGACGCAGACGGCCGGCCGGCCAGAGACGCGGCGCGCGGCGCGGACTTCCCCGGCGAACCAGCCGCGCGACGCGACGCGACGCCGGTCGGGGGACGGGATGGGACGGGACGGGACGGGTCGCCTGGATTCCCGTTATCAATGTCGCCGTCGCCCGGCGCGAGCCTGGACTTTCCGCCCCGCTTTTTAAAAGAAGAAAGAAAACGAGAGAAAGAAAAAGGGCGTCACCAAATCTCTCGAAACTTTTTGTCAGAGAGACCCGTTTCGTTTCACTTTGCTGCCGATGTCGTTCTTTTCGTAGTGCTGTTGTTGTTGCGCAGATGTCCGAGATCTGCGTGGCGATTCGGATTCGATTCCTCGAATGCAAGTCGAGGGACGGGTTCGATTTATTTATCTCGGAAGAAGAGTCGACCCCATTGGCTTGGCGCGATACGTGATTCATGGGTGAATGTCGTGACCCACTTCTTCCCACTTGTCGCCGCGGCGTTTGCTTTGTTTTGGTTTGGAGCGGAATCGGAACGACACCAAGGTCGCGGTTTAGATAGAGGCACGCATACCAAACGGAGAGGACATATCAAGTCTGGCGGTCCAAATTAATGCTTCGCCTTTCCTCTCCCCCTGTTGCCATGCAACAGCCCTGGAGGTCCGAATAGCCGAACCGTCTTCAGATGCTTCGTGCTTCCCCCGCTGAAAACAGAGAGGTCTGTACTTGGAATTCATGTGGTGGCCTCCCAATCGTCTGGGGTCATCTCCGCGACTCCGCGAGCCAGTTGGCCACCCTGCCAGGCCCTGGCCAGCCTTGGCACAGTCACAGGCCCGCGACCCCAGACGCCTCCGAGCGCGGCCGGGCCGGGCCGGACTAAGCCGGACCGGACGGATGTGTCCAACTGCTGAATGATTCCGAACAACGTGTCATCGTTGTGCCTCCCCAGCACCCTTGCGCGCCGCCCCCGTGAGTGCGAGAGAGACGAGGCAACGGTTCGGAATCGCTCCGCCGCGCCACGCAGTCTTGCTGCCCCCGTTGGCACGCCGCCCTGCACACACAGGTGTCTGCTTGTGTGCCTACCTGTCCGGCGCCGAGGTCGTCCGCCGTCCGCCAGTCGCGTCCTTCCCCCGCCACTGTCAAAGTGATGGCCTGACTGTGTGTACTCGGCGGCGTGGGAAACTAAGAACGCCGCGCCACTCAGCTAAATATTTCCACTCGTTTATTTCGTTCGATAAAAAATTAAAATAACATGGATGAAGTGGATGGCTTGCGAAGTGAAGAAAATGAATACAAATGACGATAAGGCAGGTAACCAAACTAGCACAGAGAGGAAGTCCAAATATTTACATAGTACGGAGGTGCCCACGGGATCAACCGGTAGCTCGTCAACAAAAAGTGTACTGGAAATGGTCGTTGCTCAGGTCGCCGAGACTGGCGCCACGTCACTGCTGCTGCTGCTGCTGGATCTGGCTCGTTATCCAGTTCATGGCGTAGGGCACGCTGCCGTACACGGCGGGGTTCGAGTCCTCGCCGCAGCCGATGCCCCACGCCACCACCCCCACCTGCGCGTACCTGCTGGGGTCCTGGGGCAGGGGGCACACCAAGGGGCCGCCGCCGTCGCCCTGGAAGCACAACGACACCGTCAGGACGGCCGTGGCGAGGGGCGCACAGTGGGCCAGAAGACCCGTGCAGGCGACGAGAACTCTGTGCGCGTTTTGAGCTCCAGAGTCGCTAAATGGGACACGAACCGAACGTGTGACCCCACCAATGGATTCCTTATTCGGCGAGCAATCCATTGATGGGGTCACACGTTCAGTTTGAGTCCCATTTAGCGACTCTGGGGCTCAAAACGCGTCTAGAGTTTCGGCCGCTCCACCGGTCTTCTGGCCCACTGTGGAGCGGCGCGCGTCCGGCCCTGGAAGTGTTACCTGGCAGGTGTCGCGGTCCGCCTCGCCGCCCGCGCACACGAAGCTGCTGTGCAGCCTGAAGAAGGCGCCCAACCGCGTCTGCCGCAGCCTGGCCTGGCACTCGGCGTTCGGCACTATGGGGAGCTCCACCTTGCGGAGGATCTTCTGGTAGGCGCCCGTCGAGCCTGTGGGGAGCGGAGACAAACCAGGTTAGCCTCTCTCGGCGCGGGGTTGGGCGGAGGGGTCGTGTTGGGATCTGGGCTCACCGAACGAGTCGCGCCCCCAGCCGGTGGCGAAGCAGCGCGAGCCGTCGAACTGCTGGCCCGGGTCGGGCAGGCACACGGTGTCCACGTTGTCGGCCAGGTCGAAGGGCCGGTCCAGGAAGATGAGGGCCACGTCGTTGAAGAGCGGGCCGGGCCGGTACTCCGGGTGCACCACGACGGCCACGACGCCGCGGTCCTGGTGCGAGAGCGGCTCGCTGCGGCCCTGCGTGTCCCACTCGCCGGCGCGGACCTTGAGCGCGGACGGCTCCTGCCTGCGAGGGAGGAGATGGGCCGTGAGGACGCGGGTTCCAACCGCACACCCCGGCGGTTTCCCTGCGGTCGCTCGGCTTACCCGATGATGCAGTGCGCGGCGGTGAGCGCCACGGACCTGGTGATGAGCGAGGCGCCGCACTTGAAGCGGTTCAGCGGCCGGGCGTCGCCCACACGCTCCTCCAGCAGCACGGCCAGCATCCAGGGGAACTCGGCGAAGAACGTGGCGGTGTCGTCCGCTGCGGGGACAAGGCGTGGTCAACGCACTCCACTCGCGGCCCGTCGCGTCACCCCGTCGCGTCACCCCGCTACCCCTGACTACTTGACTCACGCGCGCCGTCCGTCGTCAGGATGCGGAGGGAAGTCTGCTGCATCCGCTTGACGCCGCAGCCGGCCTGCGGCACGATCACGGTGTTCTGGTTGGGCTGCGGCTGCGGCTCGGGGTAGGGCTGCGGCTGCGGCGACGGGTCTGGCTGCGGCTGCGGCTCGGGGTCCGGGTAGTCCGGCGTGGGGGCGGGGGAGGGCGTCGAGCTGGCCGACGCCGGCAGCCTGCAGCACACCTCAATCTCGCCGGCGCACTGGGGCACGGAGGACCTGTCAACGCGTTGTTGTTATTTGCGAGCAATTGACACTCAACTTTCTGAATTACAGTCAATGGTTTTGCCGCCGCCGCCGCCAACCCCCTGCACGCAGCGGACACTATCCCGCCGGTCATCGCGGGGTTATCGTGCCCAGCGTGGATGAAAAATAAAGCGGCGTGCCTTGTCGAGCGTTCTTTGACTGGTGGGCGTGGGGCGTACCGCGGACACTCGCTTTTACCTGACGTCGATCAAGCCCTGGCCGTTGTCGATGATGGTGTTGTTGGGGTCACACAGGAAGTACGGGACGCACTGGCAGTCCAGGTCGCCCTCGGCCGCGCCCCCGTTGTTATTGTTGTCCGGAGCGCTGGGGCCGCTGCCGCTGGGGCCGCTCAGGCCGTCTTGTTGTTGTTGTGACAAATCCAGCAGCAGGGCACAGCAGGCCAAGAGGGCCCAGCACCACGAGTGGGCCATCCTCCTCACCGGGTGGCAGACGACGCGCCGAAAGTGACAGCACTAGAGCAGACGACACGTGCGCGTGCGGCGGGCCCTGGCCATGTGCACTGTGCACTGGCGGGGAGGGGAACGGCACCGGCACTGCTGGCGGTCTGGCGGTGGCACTGCGCGGGCTGCACGCCGGCGACTGGGCCGCACGGGCTGGCGCTGCCTCGCGCCGGCGATGGACGGATGGATGGATGGATTCAGCAGACGGCGGGACGACACGACCGTGGCCGCCGTGGCCCGGCCTGGCCCGGCCGCCGGAGACTGCTGACTGACGGATGGCCGGGTGGCCCGGCTTGGCGCATCTTCGGTTATCTTCGGACGCCGCCGTCAGCCAGAAGCGAAAGCGCGACAGGGAAGCCCGATTTTGATTGAGGCGTTTCGCGGACGCAGCCCAGTGTGGTCGTGAGTGGAATGGCTCTGGGGATGCGGAGACCACGGAGACACGAGACACCCAACCGGATCAAGATTCGCCTAGCCGGCCTAGCCTAGCTGACTTTGCCTGGCCGCCCCTCCTGCTAGGCTGGGGTAGGCAGCACTGGGGTGCGTCGGTACGGGGCACCGCGGAGTGCGGCCGGCCTACCCGCGAGGGGCTCCGGTCGCTCCAGCCGCGCTCCCACGGGGCCCGCCGCCGACCCGTGACTGCCCGTGACTAGCGCGCCGGCCAAGGCGCCGGGCATCGCGCCGCCGCAGGTTCAGGACTTCAGGTCCTTCCGCCGCCACCGCGAACCACAAAACGATACATTTTCGCCGAAAAATAAACAGAAATGGATTCTTTTCCGCCGACGCTGAAAACCACAGAGATGGCGCGACACCGACCACACCGACGACGGCGCCAGGCTGTTACCTGCTGCTGCCGGAACACACGCGCCGAGTCGTGCTCATGTACTAATGGCGGTAGTTGTGCTGTACGCTGGAAAAAGGAAAAAGAAGTACGGAGCGCGCGGCCTTTGCGGGGCAGGCCGGGGCAGGCCCGAGAATCGTTTTCGTCGCTCTGTCTCTCTCGCACTAACGGGGTGCCCCATGTAGGTGCGAGAGAGACAGAGCGACGAGACGACCCTTCGGAATCAGGCGGCCGCCATTTGGGCCGCGCGACGTGACCGACGTGACTCATCCCGCTCACCCGTCCGTGCCCTGAAGAGAAATGCAAAACGGAGTATTGACCGCGCGATATGAGTAACACAGCATATGGTGCACATCGAGTTTTTTTTTACAGTGCCGTGGTGCGCGAATGTTTGTTAACGTGCCACCCGGCGCGCCGGCGCGAGGCTCCAGACTGTTTCCGTGGACTCGGTCTCTGTCTCTCTCGCCACTCATCAGGCGTCCCCTGCAGGTGTGAGAGAGACAGAGCGGACCAAACCGAGTCTCGGAATGAGGCTGCTGTGGCATGACTTGCCGTGTGCCGCACAGCTCCTCTCCTCTTCACTACTCCTTTTAACCTTGAGGCGCGTGCCGCGGCGTGCCGCGAATGCCCCCCAATGCCCCTTAACGTGCACCGGAGCGGAACTCATTGCCAGCACCAACGCGGATTGCAAACATTGCGCCCGACTGCGCCATGGACAGGCCTAGGCCCAGGCCCAGGCCTCGGTTCGGGTGATCCGCGTCTCTCACTGTTTGGCGTGTCTTCTCTTTGCCTGCAGTACGCCATGATCTTCGACGCGGGCTCCACTCACACCGAGATGGTCATCTACAAGTGGCAGGCCGACAAGTTCAACGGCACCGGCGTCGTCTCGCAGGTCGCCTCCTGCGACATGAAAGGTACAGACCCACCTGCCGTCGCGACGAGCGGGCCAACCCAAAAGGAACCCTCAGAGCCATGCCTTTCCTCACTCCAGGCGGCATCGGCGTCGTGCTCAGGGAGGACCCGGCGGCCACCGCCCCCGGGTACCTGGGGCCGTGCGTGGCGCAGGGCCTGGCCGCCATCCCCGAGGCGCGGCGCGGCCACAGCCCCGTGTACCTGGCCGCCACGGCGGGCATGCGCCTCGTGCGCAGCGAGAGCACTTCGGACGCGCGCCGCATCCTGGCCAGCGTGGAGCGCACCCTGGAGCGGGCGGCGGCCGGCGAGGGCGGCATGCTCATTGGCGTCAACGGCGTCAGGATCATCTCGGGGCAGGAGGAGGCCGTGGCCGGCTGGATCTCGGCCAACTACCTTCTCCGGACCATTTACCCGGTAGGCAGTACGCAGCACGCACGGCCTCGGCCCCTCGGCGTCGCTGCTTGTTTCTGTTCCAGGGCACGCAGTAGTGCGACAAAGGACCGGATCGCAGGTCAAAGGGACACCTGACTTCTTTGCCTGTAGCGCCTGCGAGGTAGGCCAGCAAACCGTGCGGCGACACACCGGAGTGGAGACGGTGGCCTATCTCGCCCCTGCGAAGACGCCAGGCGCAAGGTAGGCCACCGTCTCCACTCCGGTGTGTCGCGGGACGGTTGGGTGGCCTACCTGGCAGGCGTTACGGACCCCCGATCCGCGGGTGCTTGCCAAGTCTTATCGACGAAACAGCGCAATTTGTAGCGTTCTCGGAAGGCCACAACGTTTCGGCTGCAGACAGTGACGCAGGCACGCAGGCGACTGCACCAAGAGTTCTCTGCTCGCACTCTGCTGCGGCCCCTGTACTGCTTCTGCTCTGACTGAACCTCGTTTTCCTCGTGTGTGCAGAAGCCCGCCAGGATGGTGGGCATGCTGGACATGGGCGGTGCGTCCACGCAGATCACCTTCGTGCATCAGGAGGACCCCACCTCGCTGGGGGCCTTCTCCGCCACCGAGCACGACACCACGCTGCGGCTGTACGGCGCCACGCACGAGCTGTACGCCAGGAGCTACATGTGCTTCGGGCAGGGACAACTGCTCAATCGCTACCTGGTGCTGCTCGTCAAGGTAGGCCCGATTGTCCCACCGCCTACCTTAAAAAGTGGCTGCTTTCATTTTCTGCGTTTCTTTTGAAAATTTTCTTTTCTAGGATCTTTTAGAGTCAACACAATCGCTTGTGCTACCAGACTTGATTCAAGTAAAAAGCCCGTGCCACCACTTGGACTACAAAGAAACAATGATGTTTCGTGACTTTGTCAATGTGTGCTCGGAGACACTATTCACAAGTGAGGTTGTTAAAATGGAGTTAAACAGTTCACAATACGTTTCCTTAAATTTTCACGACTAACTTGAGGCTATGTTTAATCGATTTTCATGCAGTTAAAGAACATCACAGTCAATTTGGAAGGTAGCAGCAATTCATCAGAGTGCAAAGTAAAAATAAAGGAGCTGCTGGACACAAACCATTGTCTGAATACTTTCACAAGTAAGGACTGCTTTTCTAAACCAGCAACTCATCCACCAGACACCATATTTGTGGTATGTATATTTCATCTGAATACCCACCAACAAGATGGAAACACATATAGTTTTCAATTATTCACAATATCTAGGCAGTATCAGGATTCCACTATGTGATGGACTACCTTGGATTTTCCAATAAGGAACACCCTGCCCCTGATAATTTTTCACGTGATGTAGATAAATGGTGCAGTATGACATGGGAAGACTTGAAAGTTTCTCATCCAGGTAAAAACCTCACATACCGACTGCTTTGGTTTTGCCATAACAAAGTTTAAGATAATTCATATTTTTCTCTTTATGCAGGCATACGAGAAGAATATTTATCACTAGTGTGCTTTAATGCTCAATACCAAGCACATTTACTCTTTGATGGGTATGGCATCAAGGAAGATACATGGAAAAACATCGACTTTTTGAAAAAGGTAGGAATTTTTATCATGACACACTGCATGTCAATCCTGTATTAATAACAATAATTTTTTACAGATAAATGGAACAAGTGTAGGGTGGACCTTGGGTTTTACCATTCGCAGCACTAATGCTTTCCCTCAGGAACAAGCATCAGCACCTTCTCAAACAATTGCATTTCTATCATCAATTTTTGTCCTAGCAGTGTGCATTGGTGTCTGTTTGACTCTAATTTTCAGTATACTTGCCAAAAACCATTGCAGGAGCAACCAAATAAGTATAAAATAAAATTTAAAATGGCTTGTTCATTATTAGCTTAGTTTGAAATTTATCTTAAGGGCACTGATTTTTTTTTACATAAGTATTATTTTAATAAATGCGTCAAAAATATTTATTAGCTCAGGTGATTTACAGTACATAAAAATGTCTTAAAACATAAAACACAATCTAGAAAAATGTTACAGGAACGATAAGGGAAGTTTCAATAGTGATCTTGAGATTGGCTTAAGCTATGAATAAACCATTATCAATAAGAATCTTGATTACAATACACAATACATCAAATTACAGTACTTCATACACATGAAAGATTACATGAATACTCACAAAGATACGAAACTCATTTAGAAAATAAACTGAATTGAAAGCAATTAATTGCAAATTTTTGGCATGCAAAGAGTCCAGAATAATTAACACACACAAAATGTTACACATGATGCTTAAATTCATATGTAAGGGAAACCCCTTCATCCGGGAATAATCATTCCCAAAGGAAAGAAACAATTCAGGGGAACAGAACTTAAGTTAATGGAAAGCAGATGTTTCACTGTCAAACACAAACACATGCTGGAAAAGGTAAGATGAGTACATTGAGCAGAATAAATTTTCAAGTACATATGGAATGATTGAGTTAGGATTAGTTTGTCCAGACAAAATTAATTTGCTGTAGAGGCACATAAATGGTTTAGCTTGTGCACAGTAAAATACATATTAATGGTGAGCAAATATAATAGTAGTTGATCAAATACATTCAAAACCCATGAACAGAATCCAAAGATAAATAAAACTTCAAACTGATTAAACTGAGGATTTAAAAGTACATTTAGAGAGTGGAAAAACTGTCTAGAAACATGGCATGCAATTAAAATTTTTAAATAAATGTAAAATTAAGAAAGTACAACTTCTCCGTTATAACCATATCACACAACAGCAATCCACTTTGATTTCTGTAATTAGTATTATTTTCTATGGTCAATTGCAGCTAGGACCAAATTCTTATCAATGGTAGGTTCAGGTTCAATGATCAAACCTAAAAGTGGTCCATAAGGCTTAATACAACATGCTACATTAATTAATTAACACCTAGAATTAATAATATGCTAACAACCTTAGCAATACAAAGTTAAGAAAAATAAAGAAAAGAAATAAGGCAGTCACCTGAGCAGATCAAACAGAAAAATGAAGAAAACTATAGGCATTATAGAAATCCATGAACAAGAGAGGCACTACAACGCACAAGAGTGGCATCTAGGCAGGCAGAAGACTGCGACCAAAGCCAAAAGGAATTGGTCGAATGAACTTAGAGCATGGGCCATGACGTTTGCGACCAGTAGAAGACCGCATTGACTTCAGGGTGGTCATAGTGGCTATGGGAGGAGGGTTCTCATTCTTAGGACAATATTTAATTGTGTGTGCATTAAACCCTGCAAGAAGAGAGAAACAAACACATGAGTACCTTAATCACACTCAAAATATCAGCAAAAATACCTAGAAAAATAAATGCACTTACCAGTTGCGCCACATAAGGAACAAACATATTGTTGGAGAACGGGGCAGACAGTGCGTCCCTGATCATCCTTCAACACATGACCACGGAAAATAGCTGATGTCTCTCCATTGGTTTTGCAAAACACGCACTCAGAGGTCTTGCCTCCACTGCTGCTACTGGCTGTGCTGTAAGCTCTACGAAAACGGCGAGGCTGCCTGCTGGGAGGGAAAGGGGCTTTCCCTGAGTCATTGGACTTGGATCCACCTTTATCTAGAATTGGGCAAACAATAGAATGAGAGAGGCATGATGAAGTATCACTGTAACACTAAATGCTTTTTGAACTTACAGTTATTCAGTGAATCAGCAGAGGTGTGACTAGCATGATCTTTGTACAGAGATGAGTTTGAGGATGATGAGCTGCCATCAGATTTAGAATCATTGCTCATAAATTGCATCCAAAATGGAGGACCTGGAATGAGTGATAACACTTAGGACTTCCTTGCATGATAATTAAAAGCTCAGGGTGAAGCTTAAGTACAAACCTGAGAATTTTGAAGAGGGAGTTTTACTTTTCTGCCCAGGGGCTGCTTGATATGCCATAGGAGTGGGTGGAGCATTCCTGAAGCTCTGCTTCTGGCTGGGCTTCATGCCATACCCATTCATATAAATTTTTCTTGGATCCTTAACATTGTTTTGATTTTGAATGTGGTACCAATTCCAAGGGATGTACCTCTTCTTCTTCATTTCCTTGATAATGAAATCATTTTTCCTTTTCGGAATAGCTGGCCTTTCGTTCTTCAGCAAAATATTTGAAGAAGCATTGTGTGAGGGTGGTAAATCACACTTGGCTGTCTTATGAATGGGGTCCTTACAGAATATTTGACTTTCTTCAGGCTTGTCATGAAACATTGCACTTGGATCATTCTCATTTCCAATCATGTTCAGGTCTGCAAGTTTAATAGCAAGCTGACCAATAGACTCACTTTCAGAGTTGCATTCATCGTTGTATTGATGGTCCTCAGTGTCTTCGAGTATTTTATTTAAGGCAGCAAGAATGTTAGCCGTTTTGTCACCTTCAGAATCATACTTGGAAGTAGAATCAAAATATTCCATAGTGGTCATACTGTATCTACTATCATTTTGAGGCTGCAAGAATGATTTACTAGAAGGATAGTCACTGAAGAATGAGTTCGAAGGCGCATAACTGGGTTGAGGATTGAAGGAATCGTAGAAATTTGGCCCCGCAAAGGCGTCCAAAGTACAGGCGGAATCAAAGCCAACTCCAAATCTCTGCTTATTCTCACCAACAAATCCCATCTTGAAATGTGAGGAGTCATTCTCAGCAAACAATGCCCTCTGGCCCACAGGTTGTCGGGAAGTACTAAGGAACTTCTGAGGCTTCTTCTTCCCCCATTCGGTCAGGAGGTCCCTTTGGTGATCCCTATGGTGATCCCTTTGGTAATCTCTCTGAGACCCAAACTTGTAATCCATGCTGTTGGCTCCCCTACCAAAGGAGTTGGCCATGGTGATTACCCTGCAAACACAAATACATTCACCAAATGAAAGATTCCTACTGAAAAAGACTTCCTCTCAACAAGCAACACACCAACACACACAACGGGCGACGGCGTCAAACCACAGGTCGGGGACAAAGGACAGCAAGAAAAAGTAAACCGAATTTTCAACAAAAAATACTACATATAATTTGACAGAGAAAAAGATGCTCAAAAACCGAAATCCCAAAGAAGATAGGCCACTCTGGGCTCTCGAACTTACTGCGGCATAGAAACCACAGATACCGCACCTGTGGAGCCGGCTTTATCCCCTATTTCTTGTCGGGTGAGAAGTTGATAGGCATTTCTAAGGCTGGAAAGAAAAGAACACGATGGAAAGACTTGAACTCACCAAAGAAACACTTGGAATCGGGGACTGCTGCAAGCGACGCCAAACAGCAACTTTAGACAAACACCAAGGATCCGTTGGCGTCGGGGGAGCAGCCGCCAGTTCCAGGAAGACGAGGCGCTTCTTGGAAGAGGGTGGGGGAGAGGGTGGGACATCAGCTGGGGTGGTTGGGGGCGCGCTTCACGCGCTGGCCACTTGTACCATCCTTCCAGAGATAGAAACCGCTCAAAAGTATTCACAGTTTGAAACAAAATGTTCAAACCCAAAACAGGCTGATTGAGGCTTATTTCCAAACTTCTGTTTAGCTGAAAAAAAGTAAATATAATCAAAGTTTTGAAAGGTAATTGCTTCTTGAAAGTGTTTATGGTTGGCACAAGGCTAGCAGCGTTCTGTTATTCATCCGCCAAGAAAGAGCGGTAAAATGCTTTCTGTACTTGGGAGGATAACTTCATCAGAAATTAAGGCCAAAGAGTTTCTTACGACGCGTTCTCCAGCATTAAATGATACAATTTGGGCGTTAGCAGCAGAAAAATGTGGGGTAAACATTCACCAATTTCGTAAATGGAGTTGGTTCATTGGTCAAAGCGGCGGAGGGACTAAGTTGCGTCTGCATCGTGCAGCGAAGGCGCGTATTTTGAGCTGAGCCCAGTGAAGTGGAGAAGCACAAGTTAAGAAATTTGTTTTGCAATCCTAAAAGGATTCTTTTGCCATAATCTCCATGCAAATGTAAGACTGACTTTACAACAAGCATATTAGCATCTGCTAACGCCAAATAACTCTTCAGCTGTTATCATTATAATGGGTTTTGGACGCTCAAAGAGAAAGAATGGATTTGCTTTGAAAAGGTTTATTTGACATTTCTAAACTCACAAAAATTTCGGTTCTTTGTTTGATTTTTATATTATCAATGAGGAAACATAAAAATTTGGATTGAACTTTGGAATGTCACTACTCATTCTAAGCCCCTACAAAATTACTGACAATTCTGAGTTTCACAAATGTATTTCTTGTTCTTTCAACAGAAATCCTCTACTTGAAAATTAGTACTTGAACTGTTAATAACAATGCATAGAGTGCGACCTCTTCTTGCAGTCCCAGATTCAGATAACCAAAGGGCTTAATTAACAAAGAAACAAATCAATGGGGCTAAGAAACTTATTTTCGTGCAACTTGAAGATGACTACTTCAGTGTGTTGTTCGTAACTCTTTTTTTCTTATTATTATGTAAAGAGGTTAGGCAAGTATTCTGTTTCCACACAAAGACATAATGAACAGGTAGACATTTGAAAAAAAAAAAAAAAAAAACTGTGGTGCATCACAAGAAAATATTGAAAGCCTGGCCCCTAATAATTTACTCATAATATTTTTAAAGAGTTAGAATCTAGAAACAAAGAACGAAAAACACAATTATTTCAGGATCAATCCTATCGCAAAAAAATAACAACTCTAATCTCAATGCGTCCTCTGCAAACTAGTGAAGTAAGACACAGGTCTACCTCCACCACTTTAACAGGGAAAGTAAAATGAAAAATTACTTGAGCATGGCTTAAAATTATGCCTATCATATCTTCATGCTAATCTGGCATTTGCAGCTGTTGAAACAATTTAGGATAAAACAAGCCTCAAAATCAACTCCAGAGGTTAATTAGACAGGTTGTATAACTAGTACCATGGAAGGACTGACAAGAGCCCTGATGGTCACCATGCAGAATCAAAGTGACCACAACGCAGTTCAACAAATGCACCAAGACCTGTGTGCTTCATTAGGTTAAGTGGTGCTTCTTTCATGAACCAACGACAATATTTTAAAACAAATAAAGTTAACTCATGTTCCTTGGTTCTCAGGAACATGAAACAGACTTATGTGCAAGTTCATAAAAATTTGTGACGTCTTGGGCCGCATCAACAAGTAGCACATTCTACTCCTATTTAACAAATAGACAACCAAGGAGATGAGAAGTACATACTCCTAGTTTTCATCTCACAGTTTATGAATGAGACTATGGTAATAATAAATTATGCAAATGTCCATAGCTAAGAAAAAAATTCAGGGGTGTAAACTAGCAACCCATGCACATAAAAGTACTATGCAAAGGGGAAATTTATCTCAAATCAAAAGTAACAATGTGAAAAACTGAAAAAAAAAGAAACAAAGGTTAAGTAAAAGATTTCAAGGCCAATATGTTGTTTTGAATATGTGATATGATACTTAATAAAAGGAAAAGGTTAAGTACTGCATTTGAGAAAATCTATTGAGAAATATGAAGAAGTGGTTTTTGCTTTCTGCGTTTAACTTAACTCATTGAACAGAGTGATGATTTTGAAAGAGTTCCATTAATAAATCCCATAAGTTTGTATTCATTTCTGAACACACAAAATGTACTGACTAGTAACATGCCAAGATGTAAGTGAAGGTAGCAGAAGATGGGATCCCTTTCACCCCAAAAATCCTTGGCTGTGACGAAATTAAGTTATCTTCAAACATTCTGCAGATGAGAAAAAAATTATAACAGTCATGTAGTACTACAGACGTAAAATGAATATGCGGAAACTGGGAATGAGGCTGCACACTACCTCAGAAGATGTTTGGTAGAAAATCTAAGCAGATTGGCAGATTTTCAAGAAAAGTATTCAGAACAATTGGCAAAGGTTGCTAAGAGGATGCAGTGAGTGAGACAGCAACATTTTCCTCCGAAACTATACCTCACATTAAGTACAGCAGTTTGCAGGTTTGCTGCACGCTTCAAGTCAAAGAACATTTCATTATTGAAGAAGTGACTCATACTTTCTCTTAACATCATTCTGCTTGATACGCTTCACTTTTTCATACACAATTTGCATGAAAATTTTTTTGAAAGAGATGAAGAAAAGGTGACTAAGAATTTGTAAAGAGCCTATTGAGGCAAGCAAACTATGTTAGGCAAATTGCGCCTACTCAAAACTTTACAAGGCAAATTTAAGATGGAGTAGTTGACCCTGACTTTTTGTGCAAGTTCTTCAAGCCTTAAGCTTAAGTAAAGAGTATTGCTCATTTCAAGAGAAACAAAGATAATAAAGAAAATTAAATGATCTTTGGAACAGCCACTGCACTTAATACCCTTGAGTAATAATTACAATAATCATAAGAGAAATTAAATCATGGTTAAATATATAAGCATGCATTATTGCTATATTTCACCACTACAGAAACATTCTCATGTCACCCTAGGATCGGTGACAAGATGTCACTGTGGTCACAGTGAGAAGCAAGAGAGGCGAAGTTTCTCTGCTCAGGTCTCTGCTTACATTCACACTATAATTTTTAAATAGTCCCCTTGAAAGAAGATAAGTTAGTGTGTTCACTTTCATCGATTTTGACATACAGTATTAAGTGATAGTCACATGAAGTGCCTCATTAAAATCTAACCGTTCTCCAGACATCCTAAATTAATAATTTTAAGCTTTTTTTTTCTCTTTGGATACTACTTAAAATGGCTCATTAAACTGCAACTAATGAAAAGATCTAATACTCCAAGAATCCCAGGATATCTATATCTGTACAATCCTGTATGTTATATGTGCCACATAATAAATAAAAAAATGGGACAAGACCACAAAAAAAAAAAAAAAAAAAAACACCCTTTGTCTATAAACAAAAGCAGTTCAAAAAATAATGTTTCTGTACCTAGGCTCTTCCTTTAATTACATTATTCAAAGACTCATAAGCGGCGATATTTTAACTACAACAACAAACACAATAATCGTATAATTGCACAGAAGCTTTGATGTTCAATTGGATGATCTTTATTTGATCAAATTACATCATTTAAGTAAAGAAGTACAATTATTTTCTCTCATGAAGCTTAATGCACGGACACTAAAGACAGAGTAACACAAACGTAAGTGCCTAAATAATTTTTGTTGCATTTCTTTGATTTGTATGAAATTGACAAGAACTCACAATACACAATTGTGCTTCCAGTTTAAGTTAAGGCGCACACATAAATAACTATGGAATATTGTTCCGCAAGAGCTGCAATCATTTACACTTGAACTTAAGTAATAGGGGGAAAATGGTATAGCAAACTATTTCACTCAAACTATGAGTAATGTTGCTCTCTAAGTTAAACAATGTGTACCTTTATACCTTGCAAAACAATCTAATTTTTTTCTTTAAGAAGTTTCTAGTTTCTTCTCAGGTTGGACACATTTATTTCAGCCAGTAAATCTTCATGTGCATAATTGTGATCAAAATTGTCTTTGTTGTAGCAAGTTTGGTCTGAAGTCTCCAAATCTCTCAATTTTATGCACTTTAAAATACTCCAAAAAGTTACCTAACCTAACTTGGGCAGTCGGGTAACTTTGCTTGCTTTAATGGATACAAAAGAGAAAATTTTTACAATAGCTTTTATTGTTTCCACTACTTACGTTTTTCAATATTTTTAATGTTTGGAGTCTTCCATAACTTCAAAACGAATTTAACAAGAAACAGGACTGTTTAGAAGGACCTAACAACTGCAGTTGTCAGTGTCAATTTTAAGGTTTGCATCAGTCACAAGATAAAACACTTTCTTGTATCTTTCAAATGAAGAAACTTCTCTTTTTTGTTAAGAAAAATGCAACTAGATCTCTTAAAAACCATGGCATTAATGAAAATGCTCCAGGGCTTAGCACCTACTAAGAGATAACATAGGAAAAAACGATACAACAACAAAAATTTAGGGAAGGGCAATGTTAGTTAACCAAAAGGCACACTAAGTAAATCGTTGAAGTCAACAACATGCGCATTAAACAGAAACACTAAAGTGTGTAGTTTTTTCTTTACAATATATTTTCACCACACACGTGTGTTGCATTTTCCATGCAACAATTAAGACAGAGCAATTTTCTTTTCCTCCTTAAGTGCAAGTCCCTGTGAAGCACTAACTTGCATTCTTATACCAAGCATATTCCTCTTTTCTTTTCCATATTTCTTTACACAGGCATGGGACCAGCCTGCTGGTCAAAAGAATGATGCCATAATCATAACGCTAGCACCAAACACTTACGTTCAAAACAAAAGATAACAAAAGACTCAACAAGGAGTTTCAAGAATAAACATTTCTTCAAGAACTGGCACATACCGCTTGAGTAAGGTTCAAACGGTTATGGCAATCCACACCATAAATTACAGAGACAATCATTTCCTATTGGTTTCGTTAACCTGAATACTTTGGGCAATCGAAACATCACAAAGTGAAGAATTATGGATACAGTTGAGGTTTTTTATAACCACTAGTCAAGTCACTAATACAAATGAAACCAAGGTAAAATTAATGATAAGAAAATGACAGTGCAAAATATGACTCCACAAACAAAATTATTAAGCACTTCAATATCAAGTCAACAACATTTTTTGTTCTGAGCAAAAAGCTCCAGGCTTAGAATGTACAATCAGAGATATAACTGAGACTTTTGGGAGAATCACCATGGATCTGGGAAACTTTTTGCAATTATTAAAGGCAAAGATTGACAAGAAACCAAACAGAAAGATAACAAAACTGGGGGTATTTGGAAGGAGCCTGAAGCCTTCAAGAATTTCCAACATCTTAAATACAGCAACATGAGGGATATATTTTTTTAAAAGGCACAAAGTAATCTTCAAAAGCTGCAGAGCTGTGGCAACAAACTCACAGCGTCACGGGCCGGCCGCCATGAAGGAAGGGGCATTTTCCACCCTTGAGACACGAAGCATCCGCCCAAAAGTGGCATGGTATGGAAGCCATGTCGTGAGAGAAACGGCAATGTGGACGTCTGCAACTGCCCTCCAGGAACAAACTGCACACGCGTTGGCTTGACGAGTAGCGCCTACAAAGGAACACACATAATTAAAAATTTGTACAATCCAATGTACACAAGGTTATTGAATTAGAGTCTTCAGCTTGATAATAATAATTGAGTTAAGAAGAATGAATTATTAAATAATACACAAAAACTGAAAGTGAGGGTGGGAATCTATAATAATTTAAATTATAGGTCCTAAGTCTATGAGACATCAAACTGTACCTCTTCCTTTCCTTTTGAGCAGTTCCATTACTACATAATGGACCTGTCTTCACAATTTTGTAGTTAATTGTATACTCAGCGATTTTCTGCAAAAAAATGTGCAATCAAAGCATAAACAAAAAGTAAACAAGGTGGTTGCGACCAGACAAGTGATAAAAACCAAATAAAATAAGCCCTGCTAAAAGGCATGCATTGGCAATTAATAAATACTGCAATTTGCTACATTGTACATTGGTGTTGACTAAACACAAAACAACTACAACTGGATGATTTGAAATTACTTGAAAAGAATAAACCGGTCAACTAAGAGGAAGGCAAGCAAATAAACAAGACATGCTGAAGTAAAAAAAAAATGTCATCTTCTCATTAAACTTACTTCAGGGTGTTCACACTTAGAGCCATTTATTTCAGACAAGACTCCACCATACTGATCAAGAAGTGAGCTGAGGTCGGACAGAAGTTGTTCCCCATCTTCACTCAATTCTTGTCGAAGTTGACTTTTGTGGGACTCAGCAGGTCGCGAACAATCCCAGCATCCATTACCATCACTCCATATGTGGTACCTAAATTAAACAGAGGGAAACAAAAGATAAGAAAACTTAGAAAACGTTAGGGTAACTATGTGGAACACACATCGATTTCAGCTGTCTTACCAAGACTGAGGGGAAACTCGTCGCTCCTGCCAATCTGCTGGCCAGCCTGGTATCCAAGAAGGTCCTGAAGCTTTTTCGTGGTTTTTCCCATCCATAGCTTGACAGATTTCTTCTTCTTCCGCCTCTAGTGACAGCTGTTCATCACCGGGAAAGTAAAAATCTTCACCAGGATATTGATGCTTCAGACCAGGGTATAATAGGTTCTCATTGGATACATCTTCTTGCTCCGTTTGGCAGCACTTTTCATTTTGACTGACACGGAATTTGGGCACAAAGTCAACAAGCTCTTCAACATCACTATCTGTGTTCTCAATCCCTTTGTGAGTTTCTTTTACTTTGTATTCCATGTACTTAGGAGGAGAGTCCATATCAGCATCGTCTTCAAGATATAATGCTCCGCTTTCACTTCTTGTGAATGTAATGCGATCCAAACTTGTCGGTATAGCAAAAGTGGTGCCATCTGCATAACTTGTGCTTTGGTGGTTGTGTTGTCGAGGAGCTTGTTCTTGTCGAATAGGGACAAAGTGTGTGCGAGCGGATGTCAGTAAATCTTCCTCTTCTTTGCCAGCATCCGGTTCTTCAGCAGCAGGTGGCGGAGGGGCAGGCATTGGAGGCAGTGCTTCACTGGCTTGACGATTTGCATGTAATGCCCTTGGTATGACCTCAGTAAAGCTACTGTCTTCACGATTATGATTCAGAGCAACAAGACTGTCAAAGCAAGGATTTGCATCGCCTTCAGACCACTTCACAGAGGGAGGCACACTCCACTCGTCACGAAGTGGTTCTTCAGGAGATGGGCGGCTGGACCAGATAGAGCTTGTAATATTGGTACCACAGGCAATGAAGAGGTTCTGCTTACTACCATGAACATCCATGGGAATGGGGGAGGCTGTCAGATGATCGTCACTTTCGTCTTCTCGCAAGTCTTCAGCCATTTCTGAGACATCGTCTGGATTCCAAAGTGCCTCAATACTGCTGTCAAACTTTGCGATGAGTCGAGCAAGATTTCGGTCTTCAGATCTGGGCATGGATGAGGAGACCAAGTCACTGTGTTCTTCATAGAGGGAATCCATGTCACAGGGTATCCCTGAAGATTCTGAGTGGCTTTCACCAATTTGGCAAGCCTCCTTGGCAGCACATTGAGTGAAGGCGAGGTAGAGATCTCGGCGACACTTGGGAGCAGAATCCTCCTCCATCATTGCCTGCAAGTCGAGCTCCATTTTCAGATGCCCCCATGCAGGTGATTGAGTAGGTGTAAGCTTTGGTAAGCCACGCCACCTGTTGGAAGGCAATAAATACAGAATTACAAATGAAACTTTAAGAGGAGATGGAGATTGATTAGTAGGCAGAAAAATTTGATTACTTCATGTCCGATGATGGAGGGAAGTGAGCCTCTTCCATCTCCGGAACTTGAGTCTCCATCTCGCCTGAAATCAATACAAAATCAGTTCACTCATTCAAATGAAAACTTAATGTCCATAGCCCACAATCTTGTACTTAAGATGAACTACCTTCACAATTCGCCACACTGAATCTCATGGGAAATGAGTTCAGCAAGTCAACTCCATATTTCTGAAAGAGTAAGTAATTAGAACAATCAATTAGGACGCATAATTTGTTAGGAAAATAGAAAGAAACATATTCATGGAAAAAAATATCTTACAAAGTGGAGTTGATATTTGTTCTCCAGACCTGTGACAAAGGGTCCCTGAAACCAACTCTCCACCAACTGAACGCACTTCATGCTAAGTTGATGCTGAAACATGCAATAAGAAGAGCAAGTATAAGCATGATGGTATGATGGTAAACGGTAAATAAAAGATAATGGACACTTGATTGAGTAATCACCTCAGATGAATAAGCAGCAGTGGAGGAGAGCCGAGCTCACGAGAAGTGCGCAGCAGAGTGGAGCAGCAGCCAAAGTTTGCGGTCCGGTGTGTGGGTGTGTACCCTAAGGTGTGCGCAGAGCGCGGGTCACAACTCCCTTTTCTCTTACTCTTCATTGCCACAGAATCCGTTATTCGTGTTCAAAACATTCCGTTCGGTTCGGCCAGAAGGATTTATGACCTTGAGCATCGCCTTTCAAAGCTTAATTGATATGATAGCAGTTGTAGGAGACTTTTTCATTGAAGTAAAATTCAAACAACCAAAGGATGTATTGATGCTTTGTTCATTTGTTACTTGTACTTCTTATAGCTTTGAACTTAAGATTAAAATGTGGCAAGTTGAACTTAAAGGGTAAGCTTTTTTTTAGTTGTGCTGGTAAAATAAAATGTTGCGGGAAATTATATCCATGGTATGTGTGTGTTTGCTACCAAGATGCAGCAAGGTGCCACCACCCCATCCTTCAGCTGAAACAAATAAAAAAGAATATTTCATTAAATTTACATCAAAACGCAAAAGAAAACTGAAGATATGAAATAGGAGTCATTAGATGATAAATTCTAAACGAAGAAATGAGAGATATAGCAAAAACACTTTCTGACACCATGGGTATCTTGACTTAAGAAACAATGTTATTTTGGGAATTTCCATCACTACAGAAACATGAGAACAGTTGGTGGTTCCAATGTTGAATAAAAATGTCGATGGTCAATGTCTGACAGGAAAGTAAAATCACAACAAAGAACGGTCAGGTCTGAAAATGGAGCCCGTAGAAGCCTTGCACACACCATGTTACCCACTGCCAAGCCTACAGATTGACAGTTCCTCCAAATTAATTCATTTATTCAGGAGATAAATGAAACTTGAACTGAGGGCTAGGACATGTCCAAAGGGTGCAACTCGAGGCCAAACACCCACAGTAACAAAAGCGAACTGCAGACTGCACTCAGTATCCACCACGGCTATTTACGATTTAAAGGACCCATTCAAAAAGGAATTAAACGAAAATACGTGACAAAGAAAGATGACAACAAGTTTTCAGAACGAAACTGACAAGGAGCAGCTTCATAATATTGCGAAATAGAACCTCGAGAACAAGGAATGGAGAAAACATTTAATAGGGATGGAGTGTGCCTGAAAAATTAATTAAATAAAAGGAGTACTGAAAGCATATTTCTGAAATAGGTGTAATTTCGAATTTCAAGTTACGATTACGAAACGTCTTTTCCCCAACGAGCATCGCCTCGCATTTCCCTTCCTTCCAGAGGTACGTGTAGGAGTGGCAGCAGCACCGTGCAAATAATCAAAATAAATGTCAAATTTTTAGAATAAAAACTTGCCTTGTATTTCAGAAAGGATGACGACACACACACATCTACTACTACAAAAAAGCTTGCTTCAAAAAAACATGTCACCTACGATGGCGGCTCGCCGCCTTTTCCCAGAGTGGTTCCGTTTGTAACACCGAGCTGCTTCTGGAATGCACCCCAGGAGACGCCACCTCGCCATGCGACCAGGCACTGACCATACGATGCAGCGCCCTTAGGAACAAACCCGCTAGTTTACGACCGATTTGAACAATTACAGGTTCGCATAATTTCTTTACCTCACAAACGATTTTCTGGTTTAGTTACGCGACGAGACGCGTGCTTTGTAAGTATGGGCCAACCCACGCTTGCGTCATGCTGTATTTCGTGGCAGACACGTTTTACCTCCCATCCAATAGAACGAAAATCTCCCGGCTACTTCGTTCAGTGACATCACTTTCAATGAGAAAAGTCTCAGTTTGTGATTCCCGGCATTTATTTTTCAATTGTCTGCATTCTGAATTGATTTAAGATGAATGAAGAGTATTGGTCGGTAGCTCTTAACATTAGTCTAATACGTAGATCAACTTGAAGCTGCTTGTAAAATCAAATTATGCGATGCCAAGGGGTTATGGTGCACTCGATTGATTTCGTTGAATGTAAACGCGTTTTGTTTTCTGGTTTTCTGGATGATGACTGTTCTTTGCTACGCAACATCACATCTCAAGATGTTTGCCTGTGACAGTTCGCTTATTTCAAATTTATACTGTTTGTTATTTTAACTTCTAGTCTTTACACCAACCTTGCCCTCGTAATTACTTATAAACTGTCTACTTTCTCTGAATAATCTCTATGAAACTGCTTTTCAGGGTTCTTACACCTGTCGTCATGGATGTTGAGATGGATACAACTCCAGTGACTGTGAAGCGGGAAGCTGAGAATGACAGTGGTGTGTGCCATCATCTTTAACCATCTTCCTCTTGACTTTACCCTCATTATGAAGTACATGTGGTCATGCTTTCTTTGGCAAATTTGCAAATTGCAGATGTGGCTGTCCCTAGAAAGAAGAGGAAAAAGAATCCTACAAACTTAAACCGATTGCCTATTCCGAAAAATGCAGTGTGTACTTTAAATGAGATAAGTCCTGGGCTTGTTTATACTTTTGTGTCTCAACAAGGACCTGTGCATTTACCAACTTTCACTGTCAGTGTTCAGGTGAGATTGGTGATTTGCTTTCTAGTTTTTATGTTAGTTGTCTTTTTTTCTTACCTTTTGTTTTGAGTTCCTCAAAATGTACATAAAATTGTTTTCTTCTTGCAGCTTAATGGGGAAACATTTGAAGGGCAAGGTCGAACAAAGAAAGCAGCAAAACATGATGCTGCGATGAAAGCCCTACGCTCTTTTGTTCAATACCCAGATGCTTATGAAGCTAGTAGAGTTCTAAACAGTTGTGGTAAAGATGTAGATTTCTCCAGTGATATTACTGTTGGAGACCCATCCATCTTCAGTGTCTACAATTTGTCTCCTCCCCCTGCTCAAGACACAAATGTATGCCTTCCATAATATGATGGTATTTAATTTTACATCTGATAGTCACTTACATGAAAACTTAAATTATTTTTCGATTTCCAGGTTATTTCTCCTTGTGCTTCACAACCCAAGGCTGAACTTCATGATGTAGGTTCTAATGGGGCCAATCAAAACACTGCTATTCATCCTTTACTTTTAAATTCAAAACGCAATCCCGGAACATTAGAAAAGACTCCAGTAGGATTACTGAATGAACTCAAGCCAGGTCTTGAATTTCGTTGTATTAGTGAGAAAGGCGAGCAGTACAACAAATTTGTTATGGAAGTGTATGTTGATAATGAGAGGTTTGAGGGCTCTGGTGAGTATTATTTGTTGCTTTTCACGTAAAATGATATTTCCTCATAATTGCCTGTTTTGTTAATGTTTCATTTTTTCTTCTGTGACTAGGTCAAAGCAAAAAGTTAGCAAAAACTGCTGCAGCCAAAGCAGTTCTTGCAAAAATTTTTAGCATCTCATATTCCCCTCTTAGCAACAGAGCCACATCAATGGCTTCGGGTACATCAGCTGATGAAAGAATCACTCTGCCTCAAATCCTTGCAGATCACATTGGAAGGTTTGCATTACTTTATTGATGATAATATTGAAGCAGCATGCTGAGAGAATTATTTAATCCTTGTATCTTTTTTTCCTTCAGACTAGTACTCTCTAAATTTGGAAAATTAGTTGAAAGCAATTCCCAGTATTCAAGACGTAAAGTTTTATCAGGGTTTGTGATGACGACTGGACCTGCAATGGAAGATGCTCACATTATTTCAGTTACAACTGGAACAAAATGTATCAGTGGTGAACATATGAGTGTCAAAGGTGCTGCACTGAATGATACTCATGCTGAAATTGTGGGAAGAAGGTGTTTAATGGATTACCTGTATTCCCAATTGGAATTATTATTAAAAGGTGCGTGCTAATCTTTTTTGATATTATTTTAAATAACAGTACTTAAGTATCATGTATAATCTTATGATTGTTTTCCAGGAGAAGAGGCAGCTGCTAGGTCAATTTTTATTGCTAGAGCAGATGGACATGGTTTCCAACTTCGAGACAATGTTCGCTTTCATCTTTACATTAACACTGCACCTTGTGGGGATGCGAGGTATGAAATGCATCATCTTAGACTCGTTTTTTCCTTTTGTTGAATCATTAATGCACCTGTTATTATTTTGTTAGGATATTTTCTCCTCATGAAGCTGAAACTGAGGAAGAGGCTGTGGACAAACACCCAAATCGAAAAGCAAGAGGTTTGCTGAGAACAAAAATTGAATCAGGTGAAGGAACTATACCTGTGAACCAAAACACTGGAATTCAAACTTGGGATGGTGTATTACAGGTGTGTTCCATTGATAGTTTGTTCTACTTTTGTGGTTTTATGTCAGTAGCCTTCAATGAAATGCACAGGTCTTATAAAGGAATTAATTCAACTTGACTTACTTTCTGCTTTCTTCTTCATTATGTTTGCAGGGTGAAAGACTTCTGACCATGTCCTGCTCAGACAAAGTTGCACGGTGGAATGTACTTGGAATTCAAGGAGCACTGCTTGCACATTTTATTGAGCCTATTTATCTGGAAAGCATTGTTCTGGGAAGTTTATTCCATCCAAGCCATCTTTACAGGTAATAAAATGAAGATTTTATGACATGTTTGTTGTATATTGAGCACTTCTAAACCCCATTTGTTATTATCTTTTTTATTTTTCTGTTTAGGGCTGTCTGTGGAAGAATAGAAAATAGTATTGAAGGTCTTCCTCCTCCATATCGACTCAACAAGCCTCTCTTGAGCCTGACAAGCTCACGAGAAGCAAGACAACCAACTAAAGCGCCAAGCTATAGCCTCAATTGGACTTCAGGTGAGGAAGATATCTTTATATTCAGTTAAATGGGGACTACACCTTAACTTGCCTATTTATATCATTCCTTTATTTCTGTCGGTTTTCAGGTGAGCCCACTGCAGAAATTATAAATTCTGTCACAGGGAAAGATGAACATGGCAATGCATCTCGAATTAGTAAATTTAAACTCTTTCAAAGATTTCTTAATTTAATGGGCAGAATTCCCACTCGGTCAGGAACAAATTTAAAAACCTGTCCTAATATTTATGCAGAGGCCAAACTGGCCGTTGACGACTATCAGGTTAGCATAAGTCAAATTCATATTGTTAAGTGAGAAACTTGTTTCTCGTTTGTCATTTGTCTCACTTTGTCCTTTTTTTTCAGCAATCTAAAAATCAATTAATGAAAGCGTTCCTTAAAGCCAGCCTGGGAACATGGCTGAAAAAACCAATTGAACAGGACCAGTTTGAGATTGAAAAAGTTTCTCCTTCATGACGTCACATGGCACAAGATTATATCTTAAGCAGTAATTATGAGCATCATCATCTTCAACTTTCATCAGCTTCAATATCATATTTAAATCATTGCCACCATCATTGTGACTGAATGAAATCATTTAATCATGACTGATTTGAATCATTAGCAGCATTTTTGTCATCACCATTGTCATCACCTCCATGAATGGACGAATAATTGAAGTATGTGCATAATTTACCTACAATTTGTGATAGGTAGCCCTGATTTTAAAATTAAGAAAAAATAATGGAATGTGAAAGATTGTTTGTAAACATGAACAAATTCTTGTTTCATCAATTAATAGTAGCTCAACTTAAAGGGACAAACCTACTGTGATGCATTTAACTGTGGATTGGAACTCTGCATTCCAATGAGTATTTAAATGCTTTTTTAAGTGTACCTTTATTTTTCATGTTTTGTGTTTTGGAGAAGGTGTTAAACTATCCAGGGTTTGACAGAGTTGAAAATCCTTGTAAGCTGATGCTGTAAGCTGTTAAATTTTTACTCATTTTCTGTTTCCTTTTCAGAATGTTTTTATTTTTTGTGTGGTTCCTTTCTCTCTATTTTATTTCTTTGTAGAATAATAAGCAAGAATTATCACTTTCTCTTTGACAACATGTTTTCCTATTTTAAAGTTATACCTGGTACAACTTGCATTGATTCCTTTAATATTATTATGAATGTTTGAATATTTGCCATTTTGTTACAGAATTGGAAATAAAGTATGTTGGTTTCGCCACCTCCACCACAACTGTGTGTTTTCATTTCCCTTGACATGGTTGCACAGTCTCTTTTCCGTTTGACCCTTAAGAGATCAACAGCTTTTGTAGGTCTTAGGATTAATTTTTGAGCATAGTGTAGTAATGGCATATACAGATTTGAGCTGCGCGTGCGGAGACTTAAACTGAGGAGCAGTCAACGCCAGGGTCGGCCCATCGTCTGAAATTGAGAACTGAGTAAGGCTTAGCCCGTAGCCTCAGGAACAAAGCTTAGAACAACTGTAAATTAAGACACCTTTTGCACTTTGGCCTGGTGGACCAACAACGGGGCTGCGCGGCGCTTGGGTGGAGAATACCCTGAGGCTGGATTGGTAGCCTGGGCGCCCCCATGGGGGCTCGTGGACGGGGGCAGGCCTCTGCCTTGCGGCCCTCGCGGCGCTCTCGAACTGGGAGCGACGTACGAACACGAACCCTGGGCAACGAGACGGTCGAGACAGGGGAGGAGAGGGGAACGAGTCAGCCCCCGACCCCCGGCCAGGACTGCGCCGGGACTGCGCTGGGACTACCGGGGCTTCAACTCGAACCTTGGTCGCTGTCTTTGCTGACCACGCGGGGGCTGCAGCCTTCGCCCGGCCCGGATGTCCCGGACCCGGATGTCCCGGACCCGGATGTCCCGGACCCGGAGGGGCCTGTGCCCGGGCGGACTGGACCTGCGCCACGGGGGGGCTGTAGTGCTGGTTCGCAGTGCTTGCCGACGCAGGGTGGCTCTCCAGTCCGACGAAAGACCGCTGCGAAGGACGCAAGAAAATTGACTCCTGGGATCTGGACTCGAAGGCCTAGGTTGTGTCCCGTCCTACCTGTTCCTGTTTGGGCGAGAGGCTTCCGGTCTCGGCGGACAGCTGGGCCGAGCCTCTCGGCATGGCTACTATCGTGGCCAGCTGGACTTGCGGGAGGATGACTCCCGTCCCAATCTGTGCCGCCGAAGCAGTGCGCGGCGCGGTGAGGTTCATGTCCATGCCCCGCCCTTGCCTACAGGGGGCTTCCGAGCGCCACCCTACGTACCTTGACGGCCCCACTCGCCACACTCGCAGGGGCGACGCGGTGCGTCCTGGCCTGGCTGCACTGCGTCATGGCGGCGGCCCTGGTGTCCGCGGGGAAAGAGCCGCACCTGCAGCACGAGCAGCACAGTGGAGTGACTGAGCGCCCCGACCGGTTGTGGTCCAGCCCGTAGTGGTAATGGTAACGCGCGCCGCGAGGGAGACAGCGCGCTCCACGCGGCTGCGCGGCGGGCCGGCCTACCCCGGCGTTCCCAGGCGCTCCACACTCGGCCATCCGGGGCGGTGGACTCGGTGCGCCACGGCCACGGCTTACTTGTCCGCGTAGGTGAGTCTGGCGGCCCTGTTCCGCGTGCTCGGGGCCTGGCGGTGGGGGTGGGGGTGGTCCATGCCGCAGTTGTGCGCGGGGGTGACGGTCCGCGGCACGGCGAAGGCCCGGTACGTGGGGTAGGGTCGCCGCAAGGGCGCCGCGGGCGCGGGCGCGGGGCTGGCCGGCACCTTGGGCGTGCTCGTCGTGCTGGCCGCCGGGGTGTTGCGCGCCACGGTGGGGGAACGCGCCGCGCGTGGCAGCGCTCTGGAAACCAAGTTGACTGCTGAAGTCGCTGTGCTGGTGGGAAACGGAAGCGAATGGCGAATCCGCACTCACTGCATTGGAGGGTAGCATGGCGTGGTGTAGGAGGAGTCCCTGGACGTGGCGGAAAGGACGTACGGGGAACTGCGGTAGGCGCGGGCCTCTGTGTCGTCCGCAGGGAACGTGATGGTGGGTTCCGGGTTGGCGGACACGGTATTCACCCGGGCGGCCGTCCTGGGCGCCATCCTGGAGGGGATGGGGCGCGCGGTGGCCCAAGGCCGGCTGCAGCCCGCACCCCGCCCCGGACCGCGATCGGCGTCCTGGTCCACGGGGCTCGGGGCCAGGGTGCGGCCCAGACGGTGCCCGGGATCGTTCTTCGGGATGCGACGGCGCGCGGTCGCAGTGGTCTCCTTGCCGCGGTTCTGCCGCTGCCGCTGCTGCAAGTTGGAATCATGCACATGACGCCCGCCACACAGCCGGGCGGTCGGGGCCACCGAGGCGGTGGTGCTGCATGTCTGACCCGGCGCTCGTATTCCAGGTTCTCCTGCTTTATCTTGAAGGCCAGGCGGATGGCGCCGACGTCGGCGGCCACACGTGCGCGCTGGGCGGGCTGGGCGGGCTGGGCAGACTGGGCGGCTCCGTCGGGGGGCCTGGACTGGCTGCCCGTCGCGTTGTCGTGTTTGTTACGGGGCCCGTTAGCCGACTCCCGCGACGACCCCTGTGCCCAGGACAACTCGCGTCAAAGTCCGGCCGTGCCTCGCGCTGCCGTAAGGACGCCGTCGTGGACCTCCAAGCGACCGCACCAAGGACGTGGCGACGGGTGGCGGGCCCGGCGGGTTGGTGAGCTGGCTCCAGGGCACCAGGGCCTGCGGCCACGTCGGCGGCCATGTCGGCGGCACGGACCGCCGTGAGCTGCGCGACCCCGAGGCGCGCGAGGCGGTGCTGAAGGCCGAGGACGTGTAGCTGGCGCTGAGGCTAGGGCCACGGCTCGGACCGCGGCTCGGACCACGGCTGGGGCCAAGGCCGTGGCCAAGGCCGTGGCCGCGTGGGGTGGAGGCACCGCGGGGCTGGCCGTTGAGCCGGTACCCCAGCCTGGAGGCGGATCCTTGGCCCAGCCCCGGCGACCCCGCCAGCCTGTGCCTGGCTAGCCACCGCTCCCGCCGTTCCTGCTCGCGCTGCGGACCGGGGGCCGGACGATAGGGGTAGGAAAGAACCCCCGACCGCGCCTCAGCGGACTCCACCACCCCACCACCATACTTCTCTCTCCTTGGCCTTGAAGTGGCTCAGGTCTCTCTCGTACCGCCGCTGCTGCTGCTGGCGCGCCTCTGCCAACTCGGTTCGGAACGCCACTGTAAGGGCAACGCCACTTTCTTAAGTGACTGAAACATGGCCATGGTTGAGGTGCACGACACCGTAAGACCGCCTACTTGAGTACTGCTCGTCCTGTCAGAGACCCACTCGGTTGTAGTCCCGTCCTCCTCTGCCACTGCAATGCAAAGCGGGCTCATGCTGATGACATGCGGGTTTCAAAATCGGCGCGCCTGAATTTTAAGGAGGTCCGTTGCGTACTTTTGCTTGGTGGAAGGGCAATGCGTCTGCATGCCGCAGGGCAGCTGGTATTTTTTTTCTTTTCTTTACTTCATTTTATTTTTGTCACACTTCACTTTGAATTTGGCGTTGTCTTGACTACAGCCAACAATTAAGTCCAATTGGTTGAAGAAAGGGATTGTCAATTGTTGCCAATTTGAAGGAAGTTAGAGGAAATAAAAGGGCACAGGATTGTTTTGCTTTTCCACTCATTCTTTTATTTTTGTGACATGGCACACAGAATGTCACATACCATTCCCAGAAACTCCACAGCTCCATGCATAAAACATCAAAAATGTAATAACTTGGTCCATTATTTCCAAAATTTCTTCAATATTCCTTCCAACTTTACATAACAAACTTTCAGGTGTGAAAAAAATATCTGATATGAATGGTACATTGGTCACTCCTTATCAATATCCAGGAATAATATTGAATCGCTTTTTGATCACAAAAGGTCTTAGCAGAAATAATGTGTGCTCCTGTGGAAGCTACATTTTACATAATGATCTATACACTAACAACTCTATGAATGTGTCAGTGGTTTGAACATGGAACTAAGCCCTGACACATACGTTCTTCTCATGGAGAGAAAGAGAGAGAGAGAAAAAGAGCACCGCAAATTAAGTCTCAAACAAATTACTACTTTTAAGTTTTCTGAAAGACTAAAGCAGTGTGGGTGAGCATTTCAATTTTTAAATGATAAAGAAAAACAACCATAATGGGAAAGGATTGACAGACTAAGCTACTATAAAGAAATGGAAGAACAGTACACTGACCTCCATCTGCAAAACAGTATTGAGAACCACAAGGATGACAGGATTAGAATGGAGTACAAAAAGAAAGGTCAGCAAAGAAGCTTGTTTCAAAGTGGAAAATATTAATTAGCATTACATTCAGATGCAGTGCAGTCACCTTGATACAAGGTAATTTATTTACAATATTTATTCACTCGACCCTTAATTTAAAGAAAGACAAGACCTTTTGTTGTTTTCTTATCAACAATATAACAAAGTAAGTAACAGTAATTTTCCTTATGGAAAACCAATTAAGTGAGCATTGATGGTTTTTGTAATAGAATTTTAAGTGCCTATTTCACATCCCAATAATGGTATAAAAATACAGTGAAGGGATGTAGCAAATTAATTTTTTCTAGATGTTATTACATCAGTGCTCTTTATCCAAAATGGAGGCAAATACGGTACGATCCTGCTGTCCATATAGACAGTGCCCAGCCAGCACTGACACAGTGGCCCTTTCCAAAAAATGAGGTTCTGGTCCCTCTGTTCTTTTAAAAGGTATGGTCAATTTATGATTAAAACACACAACAATTGTACAAAGTTACCCTGTCCACAATGTGTCTTCATTAGAAGATTTAGCAATAACAGCTTCACATTGAATTACCATTTTACTATGAAGTCGGGCAAAATCCATATATCTGAGTTTTGATTTTTGAGTAATGCTGGCTAAGTTTCTTGACGATAACAACTATAAGTAAGCTTTGTTTTAAGTCACATTGAAAATTCAACTCAGTGTTCATCCCCAATCAAGCAAGCCCCTCTGGAATAAATATTGTGCAAAAAAATATTGCACAGTTGCATATTTTGTGCGCTTTTTAACACTACAGTACATAAATCTTAACAGCAATAAATATTTTTATCAAAATATGATCACAGAAGTTCCCCATTAAAGTAACAGTTATTGCACTTGTAGCTAGTACTCAAACAGTTCTCACAAATTGCTCTAATTAAACAAAGCACATGCTTTACAAAACAACACTACAACAATTAATAAAATAAGCTATTGTAATGTACTCAGAATATATTTTTTGTCATTTGAGAACCCATGAAAGTTAACAGTGTCATAGTTCACGAATTATAAAACATAGTGCTTGGAATGATAATGATTAGCTTTGTGCTTTGTCTCACATTTGAGCTGCATGTTACAAAATTCTAAACATATACATAAATATTAATATGAGCACCTATCACAACAAATCAGTAACAAAATGTCTTAAACAGTTCTAGTAGAAACAAAATCTAGTACAGTAATAAGTCAGCTTTGGTGCTTTGCAGCAATGGATTGGCAAAATATTATAAGCCAAATGTGACTTGAAATCAATCACCACAGTACAAAATGTACATCAACCTTTCAAACTATAATAATAAAATTAGATCACACAATTTATTGTACAGTAAGACATTTAATGTATGTCTGGATTCCATGAGGACAGTACACTTTATACTTATAAAAGAATTTTAAAATAATAACTAATAAAAGATGATCCAAACAGATCCAAACATAAAAGCCAAGAAACAGTTGTATCAAAAAAAATTAAAGGCTGTGTTCAGCTAAAATGCACGGCTCAGTGCAAAGAGTAATTACCCAGCGGGTTGAACTCTCGTTGGTGCCTTATGCTCATAGCGGGAAGATAGCCCCAGATCTTCATGGCCTCGCGACAATCATGCTGTATTTTATGGACCCTATCATGACTTAAATCCTGCCGCCAATGAAATGGTGCAGACTTGGAATTTCGATATGTTGAAGACACTCCACCAACATCAACTTTAGTGTGGGTGTCAAGGAACTCCTGCACGGCAGGGTGGAAGTCAAGCCCAAACAAATCAAACAGCTCTTGCACTTTCTTGTATGGCTCTACAGATAAATCCTCGTATCTCATGGCCCTTAAAAGAGAAAACAGAAAAAAAAAGAAAAGAAAATCAATAAAGAAATCAAAAACTCGTATCGAATAATTGAGATTTCTGCGACTTGACGTACCTGAATCTTCCAGGGTACAATTTGGATAGGCGTACAGCTGCACTGTAGTCAGACACCAGGTCTTTGCAGAGGTGCTTTGGGTCGGAGCAGTCTGGCTTGCCCGGGCACCAGTCCCTGTGCAGGCGGCTCTGGAGGGTGCCTCGCGGGTCGCGCACCAGGAGGGCCACGCGTATGTTGAGGCTGGCGAGGCGAAAGGGAAACACTCGCATTACTTCCAGACCTCCAGACCCCCAGGCGCAGCAGTGCCGGACTCTGCTCGGCCTTACCTGGGGTCGGCGAGGAGCTCCTCCATGAGCCGCAGTCGGAGACGCACCACCTTCATGGACTGGAAGGGGAACAGCCTGCAGAACGCGTTGAGGAACCGTGGCCGCCAGCAGAGGTCGGGTCTGCGCTGGCAGGCGTCCCAGAGGCGCGTGTTGTGCGAGAACAGCCACGTGTGGTCCGGCCCGTAGTCGAGGTACTCCTCTGCAAAGACAACGTGCCATCACCAAGTTCGGTTTGCTAGGAAGGGCCACGCCGCCGCGCTACTCACTCTGGTTGGTGTAGTTGCAGTGCAGCAGGTCGCGCAGCGTACCGACGGCGCCGTGCGCCAGCGGCTCGCCGCGGACCTGCACGATGTCGAGGTGCAGCAGCGGCTCGTAGTGGTAGAAGTTGGCGGGGTGCGCGTGCAGCACGTCGCCCAGGAACGTGGAGCCCGACCGCCACGTCGTCACGATGACGGAGCGCACGGGCTGGCCGCCCAGCTCGGGCACCAGGTCGCTCAGGGCCCTGCGGGGGTGGAGAGGACAGTCAGCACACTGCCACACACCGGCCGGGACGTCCCTCAGTCCCTTGCTACCGCTTGCTACTGCCTGGCGCTGACGTTGTTCTTGCCGGCCGGGTACCGGTACCCCGACATCTCCTCGGCGATGACGAGCCTCTGCTGCTGGATCACGCCCTCCATGTCCAGGGAGCGGTTCGCGCCCGCCCACGCCTCCAGCTCCGCGCTCGACCAGCTCTGCAACGCCAACACAAGCCAAGTCAGAACGCAACGCACGCCTAATGTCACTCACGACGGAAAAGCCGCCGGAAGCCGAACAAACAACACTCCCCAACACGATACAAGCTAATGTGAACAAAAGTACAACGGACAGATTTTCACTGTGATGAAGAAAGCACACAAACACCTCGACCCCGGGCCAGGCCGGGCTAGTCGGGCAGTCGGGCGCCTGCGGACTCGAGGGTAGGCCAGCCCGCCGCGGCCCGCGCAGGCGCGTGCTGCAGGGTTGCCTATCCCCGACTCGACGGGCGCGCCCAGCACCAGCCCCCGGCACTGAAGCGGAGTCTAATGAAAGACTGGTGGACGGAGGGACAGGGGCACACACACAGCAGCAGGCTGGGAAGGGTGGACCAGGCATAAAGGGGAGGCTGGTAGCACGGCCAGCACGGCCAGCGCGGCCACTCAACACAACAACTAACACACAAACAAACGTCCCAGGGCGAGGCGAGGCGCACGTCTCGAGGGGCGTCTAAGCTGGACGGGAAGGGGAGGGAGGGGAGGGGTCTATGCCTGCCGGATAAGGCATCTCACAACATGATGGGTCGGCAGCACGGGCAGCACGCGCGGAGGACAATGCAAGGGCTGGTGAGGGTTGGTGCGGGCCGGTGAGGGGGCGGGCGTAAATCACATCAACACAAGCCGGGGCCGCACTGCGCGGCACGGCGCGGCACGGCACCCCCGGCGCGATGCTCGCCTGCAGGTCGGGAAGTGCCGTCCGGACGGGGCTGTCGGAGCCCCCGGGGCCCCCGGGGACAGGACGGCGGCCGGCGGGCACGGACGGCACCAGCGGGGCCAGCGGGGCGGGCTGCACCGCCTGCCCCTCCTGCGCCTCCTGCGCCTCCAGGTCCATCTGCAACACAAGTCCTGCTGGGTCCGACGGTCCGAGCCACCACGAAGTCGGCCGCCAGTCGCCGTGCACGGGCGGGGCGGCATGCCGCAGCCTGCAGTGCCGTGGCAGTGGCGTGGCAGTGGCGTGGCAGTGCCGCGGCTGGGGCCGAAGGGAGGACGAATTCGCTTCGCCGTGGCCTGCAGTCTAGTTGGGCGAACTGCACCGGCCGCCGCATTGCAGACAGGCGTTGCGGACGGCCGTTGCATGGCTTTGATTTGAGTGGCCGGGGAGGAAGGGGCGGGGCGGCGCTTCGAAGGGCCGGGCCCTCGGCAGCCCTCCGCCGGGGCGGCCCTGCATCGCCTCCCTAATGACCCCTCCCCAGCCTAGCCAGCAGTGTGGCCGAGTGCTAAGTCTGCTCACCTGGATGGTGCGGCCGATGGCCAGGAAGGGCGTGCGCTCCAGGGCGTTGGAGGTGACGAGGCGGTGCGAGACGGCGAGCAGCAGCAGGCACAGCGAGCACGCCAGCAGCAGCCCCAGCGCGCCGACGCGCTGCAGGGCGTGCGGCAGCACCACCCACTTGCGGCCGTCGAGCCTGCAACAGAACGGGACGAGCAGGGCGTCAGCAACGTCATCGGGGGTAAAAAAAATTAAAATACTGAAAGAATAATACAAAGAAAAAACCCGAGGCGGCCTTTTTCCGACGCAAAAGGTTGCTTCGCGGTTGCGACAACGGGCAGGTCGTGCGCAAGCCAACCTGGATCTCGGTCCGTGATCAGGGAATCAGGGAATCGGAAAAAGGCGCCGGCGGGGCCTCTGATTGTGGCGCGGCGCGGCGGGTGACATTTCACGCTTCACGCCCAGCGACCACGCCGGCCAGCCGAGCCGCCAATACGAGATTTCCGATGACCAGCTCGCTTTCTTTCGGAAATGACCTCCCCACTAAAAACAGCCGCCGACGCCGACCGACGCGACGCCCACCTCAAAGTGTGCGAGTTCCGTTCATACATCCATTTTTTTTCCCGCGCCGTCTGCGCGAGCGATCCAGAGGCAACAACGCCGAGCGGTACGCGGTATACGCGACGGACGAAATTGCGCAAACAGGAATCGCTCTGCGCTGCGGCTCGGCGTGGCGGCTAGGCTCGGCTCGCGGCCACCGGCAAGGCGGGCAAGGCGGGCACGGCGGGCAAGGCGTGGCGCCAACGAGCCGCATCGGGACGTGACGTGACGCGACGCGACGACACACACGCAGGCTGACGGCCAAGCGTCCGCGGGACGGGACGGACACAAAGGTCGGCCCGGTACCCGTTCAGTCGCCGTTCGCCGTTCACGGGGAAAAGTAACGCAAATTCCTGGGGCGAGTGCGGCCATGCTCCTGGCTCTGGCCATGCTATGCCCATGGCTCCGGCGCTATGGGCATGGCCTGCCGGCCTGGGACCGTTAACGAGGCGAGCGATCCGCGGTGAAAATCCGAGCCACCGCATCCATGCAGACCTTGCAGACCTTGCAGACCGCGCTAACGGTGAGCAGCGGCGGCGGCGGCCGGCCTGCCCGGGGCCTTCCGCGGCGCGGCGCGGCACTGGGTCACTGCTCTGCGGCTCCCGGGGCTCGCGGGGCTCCTGGGCGCCACCGCGAGTCGTGCCTTTGGCCGCGGGCCTGGATCGGCCTGGCCTGGCTGTCTTTGGCCACTGCAGCGGGGCGCAGCGCGCAGCACCATCGTGGCGCGCCGATCGCGCAATTGACCTCAACTACCCGGCCATTGCCGCCAACCGCTGCCTGTTCGACTCGGCCGCGGCCCGCGGCTTCATCGGCTCGTCGGCGAGGCGGTCCCCGCGCTCCACGCCGCACGCGCCGAACGCGATACGATACAAATGTCTCCACAATGGAGACTGCTGCTGCTGCACCCCGAGTCTCGCGAGTCGCGGCGTCGCGGCCGTCCGGGGCGGCGCCATAATGGAATGGAATGAATCACAAGCGACCAGTCAGGCAGTCAATCGGAGAGAAAGGAAGAAAAGTTGGACGGAAAAGGGAAAAGCGTTCGGTTTATCGGGCGGCCGGGATCGTTTTCCATCTCCGGCGCACGGCCGCACGGCGCACGGCTCGCCGCGCGCATCGCCTTGTTGTCGTCGTCAGCGTCGCGACAAAGGCGTCGGCGGCCCGGAAAAAGGACGTTGCATCCGATAATTGGCTGGCGCAACTGGAGCGGACCCAGCGGGCCGCGCGACGCCGGCGGCCACCTCCAACCTCCTTCCCGCGCGGCAAAGCAGCGCCGGCAGGGCCGGCACGGCCTGCAGGGCGTGCACTTTGTCACGACCGCGCCAAAGGCAGCCAAAGGGCACCGGGGAGGGCGGGGCGGGGCGGGGCGGGGCGCGGCGCCTGGACGGCCTGGATGGTACCGCTCGGCACGGCGAAGGGCGGCGGAGGCCCGGTCGTCACAAAGGGCGCGGCGAAGGGTTGGCTGCGCCGCGGGGGCCCTGCGCCCCACGCCCCACGCCCTGCGCCCCGCCGCCGCCCTTACGTCTCGGGCTGCCGTTTTTGACGTCCCGTCCCGCACCCCTCCCAAATGGCGGGGAAGTCCAGGAGGCCGATCTATAAAAGCACTGCATAGCCCGGCCGGGGCGCGGCGTGCGGACTGCCAGTCTGCACGGCCCGCCGCCACTGCGGCTACAGTGAAGTGCACAGCTACATGCACACATGAACGGCGCACCTTGGCCAGGACGGCAGCCAATGAGGCGCCCTCGTTGGCACAGGAGATTCGGGCCGTCCGCGAAACACGTAAAGCGCGACGCGGGCGGCGCCTAACTGTACCAGTGTAGGTACGCCCCGAGATTGGGCAGGCCGGCAGGGCCGCCTCTCACAGTGCAGGCGCGGTTCCCGGTTCCCATGGCAACGGCGGTCGCGAGGACGGTCCCCGTGCGCCGTGAGCAGGGAAGTACAGTTTGCATTTGCGGGACGCTGCCCCCCCCCCTTCTCCCCTCACATATTCGTCCGGTTTCGGTGCTGCAGCCAGCCAGCCTGGCCCACGGGTGCACACACGGAACAATGCATAGTACCGCCCCGCCCCGGCCGAGCCGAGCGCCGCCGCCGCCCGAGTCCCAGGAGGAGGCGGTCCCTGAGGCGGTCCCATGGGCCCCGGGCCGTCCCGGGCCGTCCCGGGCGGGCGAAGCGCGAAGCGGGCCCACCTGCACCGTTAAGTCGCGGAAATTTGGAGTAGCAGTACACTGCCGGGGAAGCCGAACCTCCACACTCAGTTCCCCGCGCACACACTGGCATACGCTCAGAACGGCTCAGAATAACCGCGTCAAGAGCCAAGAAATTCAGTGAATTTGCCTGAAACATTCTACATTGTGATTGGTTCAAGGAACGACCTTTCGGGGTGTCGGCTCGGCTAAACGAACACTAAAAAGTGCATAGAAAGGCGACGTTGGCGCGCGCCGGCCGCGGGATGACTTTTATATTATTTTAATGTCGCGAGGTGGAGGCGGAGCAGGAGGATGGAGGAGGGAAGGCCTTGGCGCGCGCCGACGCGCCTGGCCGTTGCGGCATCCAGGCAAGGCAGGCGGCTGCGACGCTGCGGAGCCTGCTGCCAGGCGGCGGTGGGGTCACGTCGGCGACGCAACCAATGCGTCCTCAATCCTCGATCGCACTTGCCCGCCGCACAGTGGATTTGCCAGAAGACCGGCGACGGCGGCCGAAACTCTAGACGCGTTTTGAGCGCGTTTTGAGCGTGTGACCCCACCAATGGATTCCTCGGAGAGCAATCCATTGGTGGGGTCACACGTTCGGTTCGAGTCCTGTTCAGCGACTCTGGAGCTCAAAACGCGTCTAGAGTTTTGGCCGCCTCCACCGGTCTTCTGGCCCGCTGTGCGCCTGGAGGGAGGCCTCTACCTCCCGCCTCGGCGACGCGGCCGGTGCCGGACGGACGGTCCTGGCTGTCATTCCTGGCGGGTCCGGGCGTCCAGGCTGCCCGCTGCGAGGCGTCATCGTGTCGGCGTGACATTTCGTGCCGACGGAGCGGAGCGAGCGGAGCCAGGCCGTCGGACGCCGTCCGTCGGGAAGGGCCTTATGGCGTCCGCGGCGTCCACACCTCATTAGCCGCCAGCAGGGAGAGCCGACCGCCCTGCCCGCCCTGCCCCGCCCTACCCCGCCGACTGCAGCGATCAGAGGGGCTGGCCTGCAATCATGCGGTTTTTCCTGCCCCTCCCGGCCGCCCCTCCGCCAGGCGGCCAAGGGCCCCGTCGCGGTGCTCGTCGCGGTGCTGCTGCGCCGCTGCACGTGACGCCCCTTTCTGCCGACGCAAGGCGGAAACGCGGAAACACCGACGGCGTGCAACTCGCCCCGACGAGCAGGGCCTGCAGGGCCTGCAGGTGCAGCACCAGGAGGACCGAGGCAGGCGTTCGGTTCGGCCCGCGCGGCTCGCAGGCCCCAAAAAGGGCGGCGCGGTGGACGGCGGCGGACGCGCTGAGCGACAGGAACTCATCACGAGCGCGACCAGCGCGACCCGCGCGACACGGAACCCCGCCAAGTGCGAAATGACTTTCACTTCCCGCCGCGCGGCCGGACGGCCCGCCGGGCTGATTAATAACTCATGACAAAGCGAACGGCCGGGCCGGGCTGTTGTTGTTGCTGTTGTTGTTGCACTCGGCGCGCACAATGTGGCGTTTACCGTTACCAAAAGGAAACACAAGTCGGGCACGTAATTAAAACGACAGACTTGCAGCCTGCAGCGCAGACGGCGAGATATCCCGCTCGAGATTAGCATAACCGAGTCATAGTTGCAAATACCGCACAGCATGCATCTGGATGCCGCGCAGCACCGGCTGGCTCCCGCACACTCACACAAATACACGCTCTTTTCCATTTTTATCAGTACAGGTAGCAGTATAGTGCGGAAGCGATCGCCTCACGGCAAGCAGTTGGTTGGCTGGGCGAGGCGCGAGGCGCGAGGCGGTAGGGGCATCCCGCCGTAAACGGCCTGACAAGTGAGGTGGCAACTGCAGCAGTGCAGCAGTGCCACCCAGCCCGACAGGTTCGCGGAGGGCGGACGGGCGGACGGACAGACGACGGCCGGGCGATACATACCGTGCACGCCACTACGCCACTGCTAGCCCGGTGCACGGTGCACAGAGTACACAGTAATTAGCATCGACCCGAAAACAAAGCTCCCTCTGCGGCGGGCGGCGTTTCGTTTTCGTTAATGGCGGCGGCCGGGGAGGTGCGAATAAAAGCAGCCTCCCCCGCCGAGAAGTTGGCCCGGCCGGGCCGCGTGCGGCCGCGTGCTACCCGGTACCCGGGCACACCCCGAACGCGCGGCGCGGGGCGGGCACTTGACTGGAACGCCAGGCATCGCACGTTGATCATGCCGTCCAAGAGCCTAAGCCCGGCCTCGCGGCGCGCGCGGCGCGGCTGGTTCATTAAACCCCCACCCCCTTTTAACAACTCCCTGCTTCACCCTTGCGCCCTGCCGGTGCCCTGCCCGCGGCTCGCCCTGCCCCCGTGGGCCCCTCACGTGAGAAGTCAGTCGGTGGCGTGCGATAAGGACTGCTGCTTTATCGTACACGGCGTCGCACCGCGTCGCACGCCAGTCGCACGCCA